CAGCAAGCAGTTTTATCTTGGGTGTACTTCAAGGAAAATGCTGAGTAAGCCCATCATTAACATTTAGTCAAAGACTGTGTGTGACAAGAATGTTGGCTTTACGATTCTTAGAACTTTAAAATTAGAGATGTGCCTGTTTTAGTGTTAATGCTTTAGTGTCTGGGCAATCTAGGTAAGTATAAAAGAAGATAATCTTAATAGTATCCTAAGTAACACTGTAGTTTATTGTTTTCCCATACCTGTGACAGCTGACAGTTCGAGAAGCTATTAATCAAGGTATGGATGAGGAGCTGGAAAGAGATGAGAAGGTATTTCTGCTTGGAGAAGAAGTTGCCCAGTATGATGGGGCATACAAGGTAACCAAAATAGATGAAAGGTATGCAAAACCAAGATAACCATTTTACCTGACATACCCTTAGAAGTAATGAAATCAACCCTTAATTCTAGGTTAGCCGAGGCCTGTGGAAAAAATATGGAGATAAAAGGATCATAGACACTCCGATATCTGAGGTGAGCCTTCCAGCAGGAAGCAGAGCTTTGAGGGATATGTGTGTTGTATATATAGCCCTAATTTTTATAGATTTTTCATGTCTGTTTCACTTTATAGATGGGTTTTGCTGGAATTGCAGTTGGTGCAGCTATGGTATGTAATGAAATGTCTTTTATGTGACCTTTTAAAAACTTTGAATATTGGAGGAATGTTTTTATGCCACTCTTGGTTGCTGTTTTTAGTCTTCTTAACACCAGTATTTTTTATTTGACAGGCTGGGTTGCGGCCCATTTGTGAATTTATGACCTTCAATTTCTCTATGCAAGCCATTGACCAGGTTATAAACTCAGCTGCCAAGACCTACTACATGTCTGCAGGCCTCCAGCCTGTGCCCATAGTATTCAGGGGACCTAATGGTGCCTCAGCAGGTGTGGCTGCCCAACACTCACAGTGCTTTGCTGCATGGTATGGGCACTGCCCAGGCTTAAAGGTGGTCAGCCCCTGGAATTCAGAGGATGCAAAAGGACTTATTAAATCAGCCATTCGGGATAACAATCCAGGTCAGCAGAGTGATAACTGGGTGTCTTGAACATTTAAAAATTGAGATATCTTTGCACAGAGCAACCAAGGCTTCTAGCTATGGTTAGACATAGCTAAATTGCTGCTGATTTACAGGCATAGTTAAGATAGTAAAGAATATAGAAGTTCTTATTTCTAGTGGGGGGTGGGGGGGGTGGGGAGGAGAGGGTTAGGTAAAGGAAACATTTACTGTAAACTCACAACACTGACTTAACCTCAATAGTTATATTGCCCAAACTATAAGTACCTAAACTATCCTTAAGCTATTGGACATGAAAGAAACAAGGCTTCCTAATAAACATAGTGAAATTTCACAAGGATGAATGTTGTATAGTCCATTTTTAGTCTTCCTGTATATAGCTAATTTTACTTAAATCTTTATGATGTTCTGCAGTGGTGATGCTAGAGAATGAATTGATGTATGGAGTTTCCTTTGAACTTCCTGCAGAAGCTCAGTCAAAAGATTTTCTGATTCCCATTGGAAAAGCCAAAATAGAAAGGCAAGGTAAGAGAATTTTAGTATACATTTAATTATACTTACTCTATTTTGTTTTTTTTTTGGGTCCGGTCGTGGGGCCTGAACTCTGGGCCTGGACGCTGTCCCTCAGCTCTTCAGCTCAAGGCTAGCGCTCTACCACTTGAGCCACAGCGCCACTTCTGGGTTTTTTCTTTTTGCTTATGTGGTGCTGAGGAATCGAACCCAGGGCCTCGAGCATGCAAGGCAAGCGCTCTACCACTGAGCCACCTTCCCAGCCCTTACTCTATTTTGTGTAGGTCAATTTTAATCTAAAAGTTACTGCCACTTAGAGTAGAAAAAAGGTCGTTAGGAATGGGGAGTCTGATTTTTTTCAACTCAGTCCAGTAGATTGGTATTTTGTTTCTAGGAAGCCTGCCACAATCTGTCAGCTCTTCTAGAGTATGTGAGTTGAAGTTCTGACAGGGATGCACCATGCTGACTATAATGTATGACCGCCATTTTTAGTTTCATTTCATCCTGTGATCTTTCTTTTTTCAGGGACACATATAACTGTAGTTGCCCATTCGAGACCTGTAGGCCACTGCTTAGAAGCTGCGACTGTACTATCTAAAGAGGGAATTGAATGTGAGGTGAGTGGACATTTCTTAAGAAATTAGAGGGGCTGGGAACGTAGCTTAGTTGTAGAGTGCTTGCCTTGCATGCATGACTCCCTGGGTTCCATTCCTCAGCACCACATAAGCAGAAAAAAACGGAAGTGGCCCTGTGGCTCAAGTGGTAGAGCACTATTCTTGAGCTGAAGTTCAGCTCAAGTTCAGGCCCCATGAAAAAGAAATCAGAAAAACCTTTTTTACTTTTGAAATCCAGAAGCCAGACATAGTGGCACACACTTAAAATCCCAGCACTTGGGAAGCTAAGGTAAAGAGGATTATGAGTTTCAGGGCAAGACCCAGTTTTAAAAACCAAACAGAAATAGGAATTTGAGTTCTGTTATGGATTGATAATTAACATCCTGCTTTGTTACTCAGTTCTATTATCTACGTAAAATGGAGAACTGGTTTGCTTTCCAAATTGGTTTAACCTTAACCACTTAGGGGATTCTGAATCTCTTTTTTATTTTTGGTCGTGGTACTGGGGTTTGAACTTAGGGCTTCATATCTTGCTATGCAAGTGCTCTACGACTCGAACAATGCCTACAGCCCCTTTTGAGTCAGGCTCCTAGTGCTGCTAGGATTGCAAGCATGCACATCATGCTTGGCTTTTCTTTTACATCTAAAATCAAGCACTTGTTGACAGACTGTTTTCCTAGAAACAAAAGTGGCATCTGGGATTGGACATATTTGTGATGTGGTAGTTCTATAAAGCTTATATTATTTGTTTAGGTAATTAATATGCGTACCATCAGACCAATGGACATTGATGCCATAGAAGCCAGTGTCATGAAGACAAATCATCTTGTAACTGTGGAAGGAGGCTGGCCACAGTTTGGTGTAGGAGCTGAAATTTGCGCCAGGATCATGGAAGGTATTTCAAACTGGTTCTAGAATATAGTCAAGCTATAAAAAACATCTTTTACTTGAATAGATACTAAAGCGATCAAAGCCTAGGGGTGGCCAAATAACTTACTTGTCGGTTTGGCACTTGTCCTTTAGCTAAATATTTAAAAAGCAAATTAGACAATTCCCCATAACCATGATTTCCTTACCTTATGCTTTTTCTTTCTCACCAAGAAGAAAGTGGTCATCACCTAGCTTAACTTGTCTCTCACATGAGCCTTCTTTTTCTCACAGGACCTGCATTCAATTTCCTGGATGCTCCTGCTGTTCGTGTCACTGGTGCTGATGTTCCAATGCCTTACGCTAAGATTCTAGAAGACCACTCTGTACCTCAAGTCAAAGACATCATATTTGCTATAAAGAAAACACTGAATATCTAGCTTGGACTTGAATATCAAGTCATTGGGATTTATTTAAAACACTTGGCTGGAGCTTCATCTGGATTGTACTTGTAAGACCTTACTATTCAGAAAGTAAAGTTATCTCTAAAGCAACAAACAGGTGTTTTTGTACTCCTAAGTTCAAATGTCTCCCGTCATAGACTCCATGTTTTCTGTTACAATTGTCTTGTCTTTTGAGTAAGGTTAGTGTAAAATTTTATCCTTTAACCAGAAGGACAAGATATGAATGTGGCAGGGTGCTGATGAAAAGTATATCCAAAAATGGTAACTTATATGTATTAAAAGTGTATAATCTAGGTTGACTATTAGATTGTTTTGATAATAAAGGAATGCGTAAGTATGAGTAATTGTATTTTTTATTCATGAGTAGAAATTAAATATTCTGGGCTGGGAAGGTGGCTCAGTGGTAGAGCACTTGCCTTGCATGCTCGAGGCCCTGGGTTCGATTCCTCAGCACCACATAAGCAAAAAGAAAAAAGCCGGAAGTGGTGCTGTGGCTCAAGTGGTAGAGCGCTAGCCTTGAGCTGAAGAGCTGAGGGACAGCACCCAGGCCCAGAGTTCAGACCCCACTACCGGACCCCCCCAAAAAAAAAAAAAAAAAAAAAAAAGAAATATTCTAAAATTGATGCCAAATGGAAAATAAGCTGGTGTAATAAAGCAAATGTCATCTTATTGTGGTGCTAGGGATCAAATACATGCTGGGCTAGTAGTTTACCCACTGAGCTACCACTAAGCCCCCACTGCTAGCTTTTATTAATTTTTCGGAGGCTTTCCAAAATAGGTATTGGCGCTCCACAGTTTCTATCAGGAACTGATCACCTAGACTGCATCACACGTGGAATGGGAGTTTGTTCACAATTTTGAAAGCAAAATCCGTAATGGTATTTTCCCATTGCCAATAAACTGACGTTGTGTACTGCACTTTACAGAGGTTGAAATGTAAGCTAGATTTAAATAAGTTCTAGAAGTATATAGGTGGTATCTAGTAGACCAGATTGTTAGCTCTAAGAGGGAAACATGACATAAAAATACAAAAGGATAGGGAGGAAGGCAAATAAACTGTGATTCAATTATGTTTATAATAGGTACTATAAAAAGTTGTCATTTGAACAATCTAGCCAAGCTCCAAACAACACATTTTCTTGACACGGTTTATTTAATAAAAAATACAGCTGAACATTTATCACAGATTACATGAAACTATACACAATGACATTCTCTGCATAGTAACCAACACTGATGTGTGTACTTGAATTTTAAAATGGATTATTTATAATCCTTTAAAGTGCAATTTATTTAAAGATTTAAGCAAATCAGAATAAAAGATATTTCTAATAAATGAGTATCATTAAAAGATATATTTGGATAAATCAAAAATCACTCATAGCTTTCTATGAGTGCCCAAATTACTTGTGTTGTACTAATGATTCCCATCCTAGCCCCAAACTAGATTTAATTGCTGAGGACTAAGATCCTTTAACTGGCAGAAGCTTTTTCTGCTATGAACATTTTGTTGTCTGTTTCAGTACATTCTAACTAAAAAGAAGTATGGGTCCCTCGTTGCTTTCACAGCTCAAAGTTCAACAGGCACAGTGGGACTCCTTTTGGAACAGTGACCAAGGAAATCCTCCCCTATGATGTGAGGGGAAAATGAATTCAGTTGCTTCTCCAACTCAGCAACTTGACTGCTTTGGACTATAGTAGTAATGGCTGAAGGGAAATAATGGAAGCAGAAATAAGAATTACCTAAGAAGTAACCAGAAAATGCTGTAGAGAAAATGAGCTATGAGAGAAATATTTCCGATGGCGTAGAAAGGATTGCAACACAACAGCCTTCACTGCTGTGACAGAATATTGTCATTGCTCTTGTTTTTCTGTCCATTTCCTTCAGCTGGTGAAAATACTTGCTCCAATAAGCCACTGCCCTCAAAAGATGCCCATTAGAGGATGACTAAGCCTCCTTTATATGGTGATCATAAAGGAGCAAATTAAGGCAGCAATGCCAGCCAACTTCATTCTACTTGGAGGGTATTTCCCTGTTGAAAAGCTTCTTACCCAAATGCCTCTGCAAAATTTTGTGGCTGTACTGGCCCTGGAGGACTCATCCAGAGAGAACTTTAGGGGTTAAGAGTGGGATGGATAAAGAACCTTTCTCTTCCAGTGTAAACAGGAAGCCAGGAAGTGTCAGCCAATTTTAGGAGCACTGTGATCACAGGTTTCGGCTTTTCTCAAAGTTCCCTTTTGGAAATTCTGTATGGAGCTGAGCAAGGCCCCTCTGCTCACACCATTCACAGCCTGGGGCAAGAACTGGGCAGGTGCCTCTGTGCCCATAGGAGGCAAGGGAGCTGCTGGTGGTGGAGGTGGAGGCGGCGGAGGTGGAGGTGGAGGTAATGCAGACAGCCCTGTGGAGGAAGGGACAAGAGACAATTAGTATCCACTTTAACACCCAGCCTGTACACTGTAGCCTCTCATATCAGGGGAGAATGGACATTGTGAAGAGAGCAAATATTCTTAGAGGGACCATGATACCCAGTACTGTGTGATTTAAAAACCAAAAACAAGCTAAAGAAATCAAAGGTCATCGTTTCCTTCAAATAACAGTCAATGGGATGTGAAACAAGTATCACAGATGACATGGAACCATACACAGTAACATTCTCTGCTATAGGCAGATCTGATCCCATTTCCTTGCGAGGTCCCACATCTCTCTCTAGTGACTTAGCAATTCCAGACAGACATCTGTATGCACAGAGCTGGGCTACTTGAATGCCAGTTACTCAGAAAGGATGAATAGTCCTTTAATTGCTTTAACACACTATTTGAAAGACATGAGTTACTATAAAATGCCAAGCCACAAGAGCAAGGAACCAGTGGATGAGTTATGCATTCCCCAGAGGTGTCTGCCTTGAATAAGCATTTCCTGGTAGGTTGCATTGAGCAAATGTGGAATCCTAATGATTGTGAGCAGGGACTTGAGAGCTAAGGCTCTCCCCTGGCAGTGGCATTTTCAGGGAGAACTGCATATATGTGCATCTTTGCTAAAGCAACAGAAAGCCCGAAATGTTTGAGTTCTACCCTTTTTAGGAAAGAGAGGGGAATTGGCCAAATATCCACAGCAATTCCCCTGTTTCCAGGCATGGCTACCTTCAACTAGAATGTCTTATTTTTGAGTCAATGGGTGAATTATTCACTCAGGATAAAATGCTATGTACAGAAACAGGCTTGCCTTACAGAACCTTGCCACACTGTAGTTATTGCCCCATTTCCGGTGAACCTTATGGCTGAGACCCCATCTGTCTATTGCTGCTGTTACTCTCTCCCCTCCTCAGGCTATACTAGATGTTCAGCTGGGAGGCTCTCCCACTGCTGTAAGCTACAGTAAGAACAGGCAAAAGCACCTAGCATCACTGAATATGGATGAACAACACAGGTTCACCAATATAATAGTATGTTCTTTCCACCAAGTATGCAGCAAAGCCCAAAGTCTTACAATTCATAGCAAACCACTTACCTTCCTTTACAGCTTTTACCCCATCTAAGGCAGCTGAAATTAAAGAATCACACAAATGCACATACTCATGCTAGGCAATCTTGGAGTTAAGAAATGATAATATAGCCATACAAACAGATTTCATACAGACAAATGAACAAAATATATATTGCACTAGTTCTACTACTCAGTAACTAACGAAATTTAATTGTGTTCTATGCTGTGGTGGATTGTGAGAAGATGTTGTTGGCTTTATGTCGCAGGGTTATGTCACTTTTAACCTGAAATGAGTTGAAGTGAGAAACCCAGGTGGAATGAAGATGTAACAGAAACAGTTCTAGGAGGGCTTTTAAGTACTCGCCTATGAAATGCTAGGAGGCAGTGCTCTGTTAAAGCTGTTGGAACTCAGCTTCTTGATAGCCACCCTGAGGGCTTACAGGAGGGACCCCTGCTCTCTCAAGGAACAACCAATGTCTCCAGCCACTGGTCATGCTCTCTCCTCAGTATATGGATGCTGAGGGCTATATGAAGGGAGCGCTTCTTGTTCACAAAGGAAAGGTGACACACCAGACCTAAAGGACCTGATAGGCCATTTGTCCTACTTTTCCTCACTGGGTCTGAGAGAACTGTGGTTGGTCTTGAAGTATACAATAGGGCTAGGAAGACCAAAACCCAACTTGCCAGCTCAGAACACTCTGGAAAGGGAGAAAGGCCTAGGAACCAGAGACCAAAATGGGAGGAGACAGTAACACACACTGAGGACTCAAGTCCCTAAATATAACGCTATCCCTTGTTTATGGCCTTTTCTTTTGAGCTCTTTTTTTTTTTTTTAATGGTTCAGAGCTCCCTTTAAAGATCCATTTGGGATTAAGATACAACACAGTAACAATGGCAAGGAGTAGAAGAAAAGGACTAGCTATTTGGCCTGTGACAAACCTTGTACAACAGGACAAGCCCACATAACTAGAACCATAGGCACATAACATCACATACAGCCTGACATAAGATATGAAAGCCCCTCCTGCCAAAAGGCCTACCAAAGCAGACAAAAATGGACAGATTTATGTCAGTGATAGTTATGTGAGGTCATATCAGGACATGGGATATTCTAAAACAACTTAGTTACAATTACAACCAGGCCTGGGCTTATTGTTCCTATCTCATGTACTCCTGACAAAAAACATAAGATCAACTATTCTGTCCTCCCCAGAATCTTTTCTACAAAACCCAAGGGAAACCTGGCAATACAGTGAAGGCCTTGAGAGAGGGCACAGACTGTGGGAGCAAAAAGGCAAGCTAGATCTAGACAGGAATGCCAGGCTAGGCACATCCTCAACAGCCTTGAGGAAAGGACATCCAGGAGTCACCTATTCCACTAAGTATTTATTTGTAGTTCTGGGGTTTGAACTCAGAACCTTGCAAATGCTATTCAGGAGCCATACTCCCAATCCTTTTCATTGTTGGTGGTGGTTGTGGGTCTTGAACTCTGGGCCTGGGCTCTGTCTCTGAGCTTTTCAGCTCAAGGCTAGCACTCTACCACTTGAGAGCCCACAGCACCACTTCCAGTTAATTGGAGATAAGAGTCTCATGAGACTTTTCTACCTGGGCTGGCTTTGAACTGTGATCCTCAGATCTCAGTATCCCGAGTAGCTAGGATTATAGGTATGAGCCTACCGGCGCCCAGCTCCCAATCCTTTTTTGCTTTTAGTTAGTTTCTCGTACAAGATCATGTTTTGTCATGGAATTAGCTTCTGACCAAGATCCTTCTATCTTTGGCTTCCCACATAACTAGGACTACAGACACATAATACCACATCTGGCTTATTGGCTGAGATGGGGTCTTTGCTACCTACCCACCCTCATCTCCTTACCTCCTGTTCCATCCTCTACCCCTCAAATCTCCATCCTCCTAATCTCTGTCTCTCAGATAGCTAGGAATACAGGCAAGAACCACCACAACTTTCAAGCCAATTTTAGCAGTGAGAAATCTACAAGTCTCTGGCTCAGGGTAGGAGGCCATTGATCATAGCACACCTACTCATTACTTTTAGGAGAATGAAGAGCAGTGACACCTGAACATGGTACCCCTCAGCAATTGGGGAACCACCTTCACTTTGGCCTTAGAATATCCTTATCCCAACTCCAGAATTATTAAGGATGCTTTAAAAAGAACCTTTTCTGTATCATCAGTTATAACTAGTAATGCTGCTGTCTCCTTATAATGAACTCTATCTTTCTATTTAAACACTCTTCATCAGGGTAACTAGGAACCAACATTTTTGTAGCAACAGAACTTTAAGAGTCATGGTGTCCAAAATCAAAATACACCAAATGCCATGCTCAAAACTAAAACCAGAGTGGAAAATGAAGACATTTGAGGGTCATGATGGAAATGAAATGAATACAGATGAAGTCACTTGGTGCTTTTTTAAAGATGCTGCATTTCAGAAAAATGTTCCAATAAGGGAATAGTGTCATATCTGCTTTCCCATGCATATCACCTCTTACAGGTGCTTTAGGTCCTATTTCACATAGAGAAACAGAGCATCTTTAAACCCAGAGAAATTAGCAAAGCTTACTTTACCGAAAAGTCACGTTCAAAATGGCGCATGCTCTACTGAAAACAGCAAAGAGAAAAAGAGAAAGGGGACACAAGTCGTTATTCAGATTTAAGTGTTATTTAATCACAGAGTAACAGACAATAAAATATTAATCTGAATCACATGCTTATTATTCACACTACAAAACTAGGATATATTTAAATTAACCATCAAATGGCCTAGTTTATAAATACCTCATTTTTAGGGCATCACAAATGTACTAGTCACTTTCCTCTTCACAATGTTTTGTAAGCCAATTAAGTGCTATTTTTATTTATATTCACAACAGTGACTTCAAAAGAACCATGAAGTTTTCTCTCCCTTGAAGAGCAGAATGGTACTAGGAATGTACTTCCTTCTATTGCCAAACATGGGGAGAAAAGGCACCCCCTCCCCGTACCCTGCTCCCCACAGTAAGTCTTCTACTGTCTAAAATAGAGACTTATCTATTTAAAGCTGAGAGAAGCAAAAGCATAGGAGGGTACTGAGGAGCTCTTCTAGGGCAGGCAGCTACCAAGCAGAGGTACAGGCCACCCTCCCCCAGGCACAATGAAATGAGACAGGATTTAAGGTCGTTTACAAAGAAAAATGTAAGGAAAATTGTGTCTTCTTTCAAACTAAGAAGATTCTAAGTTAAAGATGAATTGTAAGGACAGTGCTTTTCCATATAGTTCCTATGGAAAAACTGCTCCAAAACCAGGAAGAAAGTTCCTTCCCCTGGGAAGGGGACTGGAATTGGAGTGGGGCAGTTGCCTGGGCAGACAGGCCACGAACAGGAAGTTCTAAAAGAAACAAAGGATGCTGGAACCCCAGCCTTTCTCTCCACTCCTGGGGACTCAAAGAAGGAACTCTTGATGAGCTTGGGAGTGGAAGAAGAGGGCTGAGAAAAGGTGGCTATTTAAGGCAAGCAGAGAGCAGAGCCAAAGCACTCCAATTAGCAACATGGGACTAAGTGTAGCTATGCGAAAGACAGACAAGTCTTAAGGGCTTTAGTCATAACCATATACTAACAGACATCAATTCTGACCCTGCAATGGTTTTCAACCTTCTATTTGGCCAGGCAAATTCTGCAAACTCCAACATTTTAAAGACACACATCTCTTTTGATGGCTTCAGTCTCACACTCCCTTCCCTCCCCCCCCCCCCCCCCTTACTGGCTTTTAACTCCGTAGTCTTAACCTTAACCACTCTGTGTCCTTGAAGTAGTGTTGCCTCTCCCAGTTCTCCAGTCTGAAAACTTCCCTTTCCCTCTACTCACTCGTACAGATGGGTTTTCTAGAAACTGTTGATCTCTCTCCTCAAAACAACTGTTTAAAAAAAAATTGTAAGAAGAAAGGGCTACAATCCACTGGTAGTTGGATCTTCACAGCTTATAACTAGTAATATTCCACTGCTTGGACAGCCTTGCCATGTAATATCCATCTAACAAAGAGCAAGGTCCTTTTCAAAGACACTCTGGAAGGACGGAAATTGCTAGTCCAAAGTCACAGTGAGTGGATACAGCTAGGATACAGTCTAGGTTTTCTGAGCCTGTGTTCAGGGTTCTTTCCATATGGGCAGAGCAGGGTTTCACTGTTCAGGCCTTGCAGCGCAGCCTAATAAAAGCAGGTACTCCATAAATGGGAAAATGGACAAATAACAGCACCAAGTTCAAATCCTGGCTCTAGAAACTCCTCCTATTTGTGTGACAGTAAAATTCTCTTAAACTTAGCTAACAGAAGAGGCCAACTTCTCTTAACCTGTTTCTGCATATGTAAGAGAGAGCTAAATTGGAATCCACCCTCACTGGATAGGAGGTACTCATGAGGATTAAATGAAATACTGACTATAAACCACTTCCAACAGTACCTAGTATAAAATGTGTTGGATATGAATCATCCCAACAACAACAGTTTAGGGCCTCCAGCTTATATAGCTTTCTAAAAACACTCGCCTGCAAATCTGTTTTTTAAGAACAAGATAGCAAGCAACAGGATTATCTGTTTCCAAATTGGGTAGGAGTAAATATTTACATGTGTGTAAACCGGGACCTTTTAAACCACTCAGCTCTAAGATTGAGGATAAATGCTAGTTGATGACATTTACTGTGAAATAAGCCCGGATAAAGAATTTTAAGGTTCTTGAAAGAATGACCTTCCTGAGGCAGGAAATAACCTTTAAAAGAAAAAAGTTACATTCTCACTACAAACAACAACAACAAAAAACCTAGGTTCTTAAAGCATTAAAGAATGTCAACTCTGACTTGGGGAAATCAAATCTGTAACACTCTTGAAGAAATGGTATTACTCCATCAATTTGGTAAGAATCCCAAAAGGCCCCGAGAGAGGTGCTTCAGATAGAAAAAAAGAGGATCCCCATTGCTGGAAAGAGCTCATAAAGGTAAACCCTTTCCCTTAGAAACACCTGTCACTTCTACCCCATCCTAGGTAACAGTAAGTCCACCATTTATCTACTACAAACTACTTAAGAAGCTTTCAGGAATAAAAGCTCTACTGCCCAACTCAACTCACCTGAAGGTGACCTGCTGCTGACCTGTTAACCTAGTGTTGGTCCATGCTGGGTTTATAGTAACTTGATTAGAAGGAACTGGGAGATGCTTCTCACTAAACACTGCTCTTTTCCCTTTACATAGGAGGTAACCCCGTTCATTCCTCTGTGGAAACTGGTTTGTTCAAGATCTGGGGAATTAACAGTGTACTACAAGCTCACTGAGAAGGTAGGCACTGCCATTATCCTCATTTGCTAATGGCAAACCTGAAGCACAGAGAAGGCTAAGTGCCCTGCCTATGATTCCAGAAACAGTGAGCACTGGTCCTAAATTTAGGTTTCCAAATCCCTGGTGTAGTTCTCCCGAGTCCCAAGTTGAATTGTGATTGAGACATTTATCTTCCATAGGAATTCTTCTAAACACTAGCCCTTGAAAACAAGGGCTTCATTTCTGAAAACTGCTTTTTATCATAAAACTGGAAGACACTGTCCTTGATGTAAAACCATAAAGTTGGTCTACAAGTACAGACATAAATCGGAGTAAATGTGATTCCAGCAGTAGGATGAACAGCATGCAGAAATGCAGGAAGAAAGACCTTCCTCTCCTGCAGGGAGCCAGTCTAAGCAGGGCTAACCAGCCATAAGCTGCCACCATAGGCCCGTGCCCACCCAGAAGAGGCCCTGAAGGCAAAGCAAGCCTATGTAAATCCACCAATGAGGATCTGTAGAGTATCTCCCATTGATACAGTTATCACGACACTACTACAAGCTGGTATTCCCAGATGCTTTGCATAGAATAAAGCTCAAGATGTTGCTGGTTGGATGGACTAGTTTTTCAGGTGAAGATCTTTTATTTAAGAGAATCTACTGGAAGAAAATGTTACTAGCCATTGACCTAAAAGAAAACATTTGCCTGAACTATGTCATTTTGGTGCTCTGAAGGTGCTGGAAAGGTAGGGCCTTGTCAAGTCATCTCTGTAATTTGGGGCCACACATGATCCCTGGGCAAGCCACAGACATCATGTGTGAATAAGCTCACTGTGGTTACCCTGTTTATGGTGCTAGATTAATAGTCAAATGCTAAAGATTAGGTTTTTTATGAGATGTCTTATAAGAAATGGCCAGCAGAGGTCAGAACACAGTCTGTGGGAATAAGTTCAATAATTATGCCAACAAAACAGTAAAGAAAGAACCAAGGGCCAACTATTTGCTACGATCTTCTCTATCAGTCATTGTGTTTGGGCACTGAGATGTCTTCCTTCTAAATTTTCTAAGCTCCCTTCACCATAGGGCCCATTAAATTCATAATGTTACTCCCTGCCACTCCCATTCCCCTACACAAAGCACTTCCAATGCAAAAGATCCCCTTTCCTTCCATTCTAAAAGTCAAGCCACGTGACACTGTGCGAGATAACCCCATTCAAAGCAGAGGTAAATTAGAGAATTTCACCCAAAGATCAGATAGATCATGAATTCCCTAAGGCTTTTTTTTCTCTTTCTTTGGTGCCAGCGGCTTAGGCGCTGTCTTTGAGCTTTGTTTTTCTAGGCTAGTACTCAACTACTTGACCTATAGCTCCACTTCTGGCTGTTTTGGTGCTTAATTGGAGATAAGAATCTCAAGGACTTTCAAGCCCTGGCTGGCTTTGAACAGTGATCCTCAGATCTTAACCTCCAGAGTAGTTAGGATACAGGTGTGAGCACGCCACCATCACTCAGCCTCATTAAGGCTTTTAAAGATAAAAACTATTGTTAAATTGCCCAGAACAACATCTAATGCACATCTAATGCACATAATAAGGTGCTTTGTACACTTAACAGTCAATTCCTTGCTAAGTAAGATCTTAGGGTTTCTTACAATTTTCTCCAATTTCCTTAATTTTCATTTCCAGAAATTTCTGATTAGCCTAAACAGACTTGGGAGCTTCCTATAAAACTGACAAAACCAGGCCCAAGAACACTGTCCCCATGAACCAGGTAATCTACTATGCAAAACCAGCCCTGACTCCAGAACATTCTGCAATAAGCCACAAGTAACTACTTTTAGCCAGCTAGAAAACGCCCACTAGAAAAAGCAGAGAATTCACAGTAGCCCTCTTGGATTGTTTCTTGTTTTCTCAGGAGGGTCAACTAGAAGATTTTGAGAGCTGATAATCACAGTGGAAGCTGGGCATCAGTGGCTCATGCCTGTAATCCTAATTACTTATAAGGACCATAGTTCAAAGCCAGAATGGTCAGGAATGGCTGTCTGTGAGACTCTTATCTCCAATTAACCATCTAAACACCAGATGTGGAGATGTAGCTCAAAGCGGAAGTGTACTAACCTTGAGCATAAAAGCTCAGGAACAGTGCCCAGGCCCTGAGTTCAAACCACACGACCAACAATGATTATGGTGGGCACCACCACAAACATTAAAGATATGGTACTATCAACTCATATACCAATCCTTCCAATGACTCTCCTTTCAAACAGTGGCAAGAACTCTTCCAAGAACAGCTGATAACTTCTGAATGGCAAAACTAGCACTTAGGCATCTCACAAGTTCTGATCTGAGAAAAAAACCCACATTATGGATGGAATCTCTAAGGAGAAAGCTCCCTGGACCTGACCTAAGAAGTTTTACATGAATGAAGCTTTTCAGCAAAATGAAGTTTTGGTCAGAGAGTTGCTAATGGCTCTAAAACCAGTTCATCCCAATGAACCCCAAGCCTGGAAGTGTAGCCCCCCCCCACCCCCCCCGCCCAGTTCTCCTACATTACAAGTAAGGTTCCTACATTACAGGTAAGGTGCACTCCTCATGACCTACCAGAGTAGGCTGGTGCTATCCAACCCTAGCAACACTTGCGCCATAGCAGGAAGAGGAAGAATGTGGCTCTTTCTGTTGGTGGAGAGGAGGGTACAATGACACCTTATACCATTACTAACCTGCTGTAGAGGGTGGAGTCGGAGATGATGGGGATGTGAGAGGTGAGCTGGCCCCAGATCCTGCTAAGATAAAACACACAGAAACACTCATGGGAATCAAAGACATGCATTTGGAAATTGGCATGGGCAAACATCCATGATTGGGAATTTTCCATTGGCCTCGTATGTGGGCCTATGTGGAACAATGTGGTAAAGGATAGAAAATTCAGAGACTATACTTAAGTCCTCAGACCTCTAGGTCTGACTGACCAATTTGTATAACCAGTGGCTTAAGCACTGGCTGCAGCATCCTTTCCTAACTCAAACCTACCCCAGGATAATGACAGATGACAGTGGCCATAGCAGTGCAGGGGATAGTGAAATGCAGAGCATACTGGTGGGAAAGTGAGCATTCTTGGAAGCATCAATCCATCCAAAGTGTATGCATGAATGGTATATATTTATTTACTTACTTATTCTATACAAGTTCCATTTCATTAGCAAGTGGTAGGAAGTCGATAGATTTTCCAGGCCTTTTCTTTCTTTCTTTCTTTTTTTTTTTTTTTTTTTTTGGGGGGGGGCCCGGTCGTAGGGCTAGAACTCTGGGCCTGGGCACTGTTCCTCAGCTCTTCAGCTCAAGGCTAGCGCTCTACCACTTGAGCCACAAAGCCACTTCCGGCTTTTTTCTTTTTGCTTATGTGGTGCTGAGGAATCGAACCCAGGGCCTCATGCATGCAAGGCAAGTGCTCTACCACTGAGCCACCTTCCCAGCCCCTCCAGGCCTTTTCTTAATAAGTCAAATTTGGCAAATACACTTACTTAAAATAAAACAATGTAAAAATCCCAAATTTTGCCAGGACCGGTAATCTTATTATATTTAAAATATTCCTCTAAGTTCTCAGCATCTCTCTATAGTTCAAAAGTCCCTAGAAAATATCCTCTGGCCTGACATGCAAGTAGCCATGAACAGACAGAGGATCCTACATAAGCTTCCTCTGTGGAGATAGAAAGCCCTTTCCACATGTGGAGGTCCTCTGGAGTTGTTACCCAGAGCTTTCTCACATGGTACTGCCTGAGCTGACAGGCATCTCTCTTTCCCCCAAAGGGAGAACTGCTGTCAGACACCACTGAGAAGCTACTACTAGCTACTCTAGTTAGCCCTCAAGCCATCACTCTACTCAGAACCCACAGGACATCTAGTGCTTTATGGATACCAGGCACATTGGTCAATGTCCTAATTAAACTGCTCTTCCCCTCCCGACTGGCTACCTTTTTGTTGTTGTTAGTCCTGGGGCTTGAATTCAGGGCCTGGGCGCTGTCCCAGAGCTCTTTTACTCAAGACCACAGCTCTACCACAATTCCACTTCCTGGGTTTTGAGTGGTTAATTGGAGGTAAGAGTCTCACTGGGATTTTTCTGCCTGGTTTGACTCTGAACTGCAATCCTCAGATCTCAGCCTCCCAAGTAGCTAGGATTACAGGCGCGAGCCACCAGTGCCCAGCTTTGTTCTCCATCTTTGTAGTTTTGTTTTGTGTGTATGTGTGTGTACACTGTTCCTAGGGCTTGAACTCAGGGCCTGAGCACTATCCCTGAACTTTTTTGTCCAAGGCTACTGTTCTACCATTTGAGCTACAGCTCTACTTGAACCATCAACATTTTGGTGGTTAACTGGAATTAAGAATCTCACAGACTTTCCTGCCCAGGCTGGCTTTGAAACAAGATCAGATCTGAGCCTCCTGAGTAGCTAGGATTACAGGTGTGAGCTACCATCGCCTGGCCTTGAACTTACTGCCTTTCCATTATAGCAATATTCCCTAAGTTCCCTAGAAAATATGACATGTTTTACTAAAAAGTGAGGTGAAACGTAATGTTATTTTCATGCTTTGTACTACTAATAGATTTTAACGAGAAGATTGAACTTGTTATTCTAATAGGGTTTTGCAAGCAATCCATATACCTAACCACCACAACCAACACTATTTAACTTTTGTAAACTAACTGATGGCATGATGGTGTTTGAATCTTTGGTGTCCCTTTGGGCTCCATGTGGCACAGAGCTCTACAGGAAGGCAGGGCCCCTGGAAGGTGGAGAGCATAGGGTTAGGCCTTTTCTGCTTTATCAAGAACTAGCTGCCAGACAGAACGACTATCAGACAGAATGATTGCCAGACAGACATGCTGATTGGAGACATGAATCTCAGACTACTGATAACAATCTCTACACAATGACTAGATCACATGCATCCCGTCAAGCATGGAGAAAGTAGACTTCTAACTGAAATTACCTGCCAACCACAACAGCTTCCATCCCCGGGGGCTACCTTGGTACTCAAGGGACCATCCTCCCCTTCTTCATACTGTAGCTATCCCTCAGCTCACCTCCAGCCTGACTTTGCAGTGGTATCAACATGAGACTTACCCTCTTATGGAGTCTATGGTGGTTTTTTATCCCCCCATTTCCAGCTCTGCCCCACTACTTGCATTCTCCAGCTGGGGCTAGTCAGGGGCTACTCAGACCCTCAGGGGTCTCTCAGTGTCTCCTCCTGTCACTCAGGAGAATGAGGCATGGCCTGTAAACCCTCTTAATTTTTTTGCTACCACTATTCAATGTATGGCCTTATTTGCTCAGACTTGTCTCAATCTCTGGGGGCTCAAGAGATCTCTTGTCTCAGTCCTGTAGAGTAGCTGAGACTACTACAGATCCATTGCACTTGATCTTTCTACTTTTAACTACCTCTGCCTCTTCACCTGCCCTTCCCGACTCCTTTCTCCAGGAAATTTCCTCTATACTTGACATTGTCAGTGGGGCTTTGTGTATATGTGTGTGTTTGTACTGGTACTAAAGCTCGAACTCAGGACCTTGTATTCTCCTTTCGCTTATGCTCATGGTTGGTGCTCTACCACTTGAACCATACCTTCACTTCCAGCTTTTTGCTAGTTAATTGGTGATAAAGAGTCTGATTTGTCTGGCTTCAAACTGTGACCTTCAGCTCTCATCCTTCTTAGTAGCTAAGATTACAGGTGTGAGCCACTGGCACTTAGCAACAGTGGGGCTCTTAATGCTAACTTTCTGTATTTGTCAGTTTCTTCCTTTCTGCAAGGTCCTTCTCCCACTTGGAAGTGTAGTCAACACTCCTATTCTCTCCTTCCCAAGGCCTCCCAAGGCCTGATCTGCTGCCTGCATTGATGAATGCTTCCATTCTCTGTGTCTAACTTCACAGATTCATAAACTAACAGAAACAGAAGATCCTCAGTGGCATCCAGTCTGACCTTGGTGTCAAAAGTTGGGTACATGTAAGACCCAAAGCTATCAGGGCCACATAAGGGTCAGCTGGAAGTGGCACTGAGGACTGACAACTCAGGAGAGGCTCTGCGTACCACCTTTTTAACATTTAAAAATGTTTTAATTATTAGTTGTACTCAGGTTATGAGTATGATGCATCTTGATCAATGGCATCCCTTTGTCCCATTGTGACTTTTTGGAATGCTGCTTCCTGCCATCCTCAAATACCCTGAGCCCTTTCTTTAATCCACTCTGGGGCAAATTCTCCCACCATGTTGAGTTCCAGAACAGAGGGCAAGACTGGGAATCATTTCAGTTAATCAGACTCTCCTGAAAAAAAACAGGAAGCCTTATATTTTCAATCAGGTGGGTTTTTTCTCCTGTGTCTTTGGTTGATTGATTCTACCCATCAGTGAGAAAGCAAAGCTACCTAACAACCTCAAAATCAATCATGAGGGCTGTAAGAGTGGCTCCAACACTTCTTTCCTGAACCTATGACTGCTGTCATAATCCTTCACTAGGAACAGAGTTCTTTTGTTCTCTGCATTCATCACTACTGCTGAATCTCTTCCCACCAGAACCCAAAACCTCTGGACCAACTACAGACTACTGACCCTGACCTCTAGATCTTGGATCCCACTACAACATATAACCAGTTACCTGAATTATTGGAGTTGTTGTACTTTGCTGAATGTTCTTCACTATTTTCAATAGCAGATCGTTTAGACTTCTTTAAAATTAAAGGGGGCGGGGAGAGAAAAGAATAAACACTCTGAAGCTGAGAATTAGAGCAAAAACTTTTCCAGTTAAACTAGCTACAGACAACATCGTATTTGGACCCATAACTTAATACAGTGAAGAAGCCACAAGCCAAAACTAAAAGGGGAAAACCAGGAATGCTGACTTGATCATCTCCAGCCAATCATTTCTTCCAATTATATTATACCATAATGAGCCCAGCAAGCCAGAAAACTATATGGTCCATTGCTCTGCTGATATTGTGTGGCTTTTTAAAAAGCTACAATCCAGTCATCTGGAAATACTTTTAGTTTTCAGGAAGATATAACACCAAATCTGTCATTAAATGTGCACCATTAGCCTAGAACTTTTTTCACACAAAGAAATTAATGGAGAATTCATAAAAACCATTCAAAAAGTTTAAGGACATTAGGCTTACCTTTCGAGCTAAAATCTTTCTCTTTTTTCTTTCTTCTTCAGACCCATGGTGTGACTGAGCTCTTGTCAGTCTTCGATGCTGGTGAATCTTTAAGAGACCACAATTTCCCACAAATGTAAAAGAACCCAACATAAGGTAGTTTCCTAATGAAAATCTTCTCCAATATGTTTGGTCCCATCAAATTCTGGGGATTAAAAAAGTCTTTCTTAGCTTATCTGCCTCCCCGCTCAGGTCTGGATGTCTGGGAGAAGAGTAATCAAAGGGATGAAGACTTTTTGCACTCTCTTCACTCTTCCTTGCCTTCTTTTTCAGAAGAATGTATTCCCAGTATCTTCACAATAGGAACTGCCAACCACCACTACCCAGCATTTGGGTCATAAAGAATGACCACTCTTTCTGCATGTGTGTATTTCCATGCAGACTGAGGTGCTTGAGGGCTGGACTGCAAAGAATTCAGCTCCATGTCATAGCATATAACCCAGAACCAAGTTGAGAGTATGTACTAAAAACTTATGGGGTGAGAAATTAGTTAAAAGTCAATCACAGGGGCTAGGGGCATGGTTCAAATGGTAAAAGCATCTGCCTATGAAGCATGAGGCCGAGTTTGAACCCTAATACCACATTAAAAAAAAATCAATCACAGTAAATACTACGGAAAGAATGGCAATGGGCAATTTACCTGTTTCTGTTCTTCAATTAGTCTCTTTTCTATACATTCTTTGGCAGTTCTCAATGCCTCTTTTAACTTTGTGGGAATCTGAAAGTCGAAAAAGAATATGGTCTACTCCAGGAAGTAAAGGGGAATTCTAAGTCCTAGAAACACTGATGAACAGCCAGATACTAGGGGGAGGTCCTCTGAAATAAAACCACTTAAACTGTCCACTCAGATCCTATCCCAGCCATACTCACCCCTCTAGCATTTTGAATAATGAACATGAAGGAAAGCAATGTTGCAGATCTTACATGTCTTGATTTCAAAATTTATTACACAGCTATGGTAGTTAAAACACTGTGTTTTACTGGGCACCAGTAACTCATGCCTGTAATCCTAGCTATTCAGGAGGCTGAGATCTGAGGCTTGCAATTCAAAAATTCAGCAAAAAGACAGCACCTAGACCCAGAGTTCAAGCAATTGGACCAGAAAAAAAAAAAAAAATCCTGGGGCTGGGAAGGTGGCTCAGTGGTAGAGTGCTTGCCTTGCATGCATGAAGCCCTAGGTTCAATTCCTCAGCACCATATAAGTAGAAAACGCCGGAAATGGCGCTGTGGCTTGAGTAGTAGAGCACTAGCCTTGAGCTGAAGAGCTGAGGGACAGCACCCAGGCCCAGAGTTCAGGCCCACAACCAGCAAAAACAAAAAACAAGCAAACAAACAGTTACTTTCATAATGAGAGATACCCAGACCAATGAAACAGAATAGAGCCCAGAAATATATGGTCAAAGGACCTTTGACATGGGTGTAAAGAATCCACAACACAAAAAGCAGTCTCTTCAATAAGTAATTCTGGTAACATTGGATAATCACGTGCAAAGGAATATAAAATATGAATACAAAATATGAATATAATAACATATATAAAATTGGATCCAAGCTTGGGGCAGTTCAAATGACAGAGTACCTGCCTAGCAAGAACAAAGCCTAATATCAAAATGGGTTCAAAACTTTAAGACCAAAATGTAAGACCTGAAACTAAAATTCTTAAAGGAAAACACAGGAGAGAGATTTCATAATATCATATGTGTCAATGATACTTGGTGCGTGTGCCAGTCCTGGGGCTTGAACTCAGAGCCTGGGCACTGTCCCTGAGCTTTCTTGCTCAAGGCTACCACTCTACCACTTGAGCTACAGCTCCATTTCTGACTTTTTCCTGATTAACTGGAGATGCTATCTCCCAGACTTTTCTGCCTGGACTGGCTTTGAGTAATAACCTTCCATGTCTCAGCTTTCAAACCATGAGGAATCCAGAAAACAGACATCAGATCAAGTTCAACTGTCTTTATTATTCTTTTTTATTTCCTATTTATTTTTGTGCCGATCCTGGGCCTGGACACCATCCCTGAGAATTTGTGCTCAAAGTCTGTACTCTATCACTTGATTGCAGCTCAACTTTAGCTTGTTTGGAAGTCAGCTGTAAATAAGAGTCTCATAGACTTTCCTGCCCAGACTGGCTTCAAACTGCAAGCCTTAGATATGAGCCTCCTGAGTAGAATGACTCACTGACAACCAGCTTGTCTTTATTATTCTTCTAAAAATTTAAATTTAAATTAGTCTTGAATAGTTAATATAGGGACCTGGCTCAAAACCCAAAATGTGCCAGATGCAGAAGTTATTTGGAATTTCCAGTATTGTGGTTCAAGGCCAACGATGGGCAAAAAGTTAATGAGATACCCCTCTCTGCCTTCTCAACAAACAATGAGCATGATGGTATGTGCCTGTGATCCCAGCTATGTGGGAAGGGTACATAGGAGGTTCCTAGTCCATGCCAGTCTGGGCATGGACTGGTTGGTGGTGGGAGGAGTAAAGCAAGGCTTGAGGCATGTTCAAGTGGTACAGCACCAGCCTAACAAGTGTGAGGCTATGAGTTCAACTCCCAGTACCACACCATAAAAAGAAAAAGAAATATACACAGTGAAAAGTCTCCTGCCTTAAACTCTTCATGGTGGTAACGAATGTCACTAGTACTATGTCACTAGTATCTTTCCAGAGAATCAGTGCACATACAAGAAATTAATGTTCATCACTGGGAATGTGGCTTAGTGGTAGTGTGCTTGCCTAGCATGCATGAAGCCCTGGGTTCGATTCCTCAATACCACATAAACAGAAAAAGCCAGAAGTGATGCTGTGGCTCAAGTGGTAAAGTGCTAGCTTGGAGCAAAAGAAGCTCAGGGACAGTGCCTAGGCCCTGAGTTCAAGCCCCAGGACTAGCCAAAAAAGAAAGAAGAAAGCAAGCAAGCAAGCAAGAAGAAAGAAAGAGAGAAAGAAAGAGAGAGAGAAAGAAAAGAGAGAGAGAGAGAGAGAGAGAGGAAGGAAGGAAGGAAGGAAAAGAAAGAAGAGATATATTAATGTTCATTTAAAAATCCTGTTATTTTTGCTATAATGAAACCATACTGGTTTTCCCCTCTGGCTTAGGGGAAGAGCCAGGTCAAATACTAATACCTGAATCCCCAACACTAGAATGTCAAGTCTTGGGGAGTACTTATTTTTTGTCAAGGCTAAATGAGTACATTTCCTAAGAAGTTTCAGTGAAGAAACCAATTTTTAAAAACTTCCTCTACTTCAGATCCAAAGAAGCAGTTATTGCCAGAGCCCCTCTAACTGGTAAATAGGACAGATGACAGTGTCTCTCACCTGTACACTCTTCTCAGCCCACTCCACCTTTGTTTCTCCTTGTGTTTGTGGTTTCCTGTCTTTTCCTCATCGGGACTTCAGAGTGGAGAGAGAACTACCTTTCACTCCACCCCTCCGTCAGTACTGACTTCACACTGGTGAGCAGCCCTGAGTCAGGAGCTCATGGAGATGATTTGATCATCTGACCAATAACAACAGACTGCTGTTATTGGACACACAACTATGAGACTCAAAAACAAAGTACTTATGCAAAGTGGATCTCAACTTGCCCTGGAATGTACAGAGGCTTTTTCGATGCCACAGTGGGGAAGAGTTAAGGGACTAATGAGAGGCCAGGGCTACATCACACCCTGCAGTGCACAGCAAAGCATTATGTGGCCCCAAATGTCAAATGTCATGTTTAACAAGCTCTGCTGTAGATAATGAAGAGCAAAGCAAGGCATCACTCTGGTTTTTCAGAAACAAAGCCCATGTTCTTCCCACGACATAATACCATTGCTCCCCATAGGGCTTCTCTTGACACAGACTTGTGGTTTACATCCTGTACTTGATATCCTATTTTTCTTAACCTTAGCTTAAACCTTGGCTTAAAAATTTCCATTATAACCACATCTTTTATATATTTCACTTTTATTAAAATAATTTTTAAAATATTTTTAATTAAAAAAATTTTTATCCCTGATTGTAGAATAAATCATTTCCAAATTTTTACTACTGTTTTATTCATTTATTTATTTTTGACTAAAAATAAGCCAACTTTTCACATTACAAACAAAAAATATGGTATTGTTTACCTTAAACTGTGGCTTTTCTGAAGTCCTTAATAAAACATCACTGAATAATCTGTAAAGAAAAGAAACAAACCACTTCCTTAAGCCAGCTGTACTCCCCAAATAGACTGAGAAACTACTAGTCACTAGGCCTCCTTTTTCCCACCATATCCATCACTCTGTGTCTCCCAATAAAGCCCCCCTCCACACACACACTTATTCCACAAAGGTGTTACCAAAGGACTGGGCAAGCTGAGTGCCCAGAGTTATTTTATTTCCCCACTATGAGGCAATAGAATACTTGAAAATATGGAAGTATTTTTAAAATATCAATTTGCAAAAATATTGAGCTTTTTTATTTTTTGTTGGTCATGGGGCCTGGGTACTGTTCCTCAGCAATTCAGCTCAAGGCTAGCACTCTACCATTTGAGCCACAGCATCACTTCCAGTTTTTCTGAGTGGTTTATTGGAGATAAGAGTCTCACAGACTTTCCTGCCTGGGCTGGCTTTGAACTGAGATCCTCAGATCTCATCTCCTGAATAGCTAGGATTACAGGCATGAGCCACTAGCACCTGGCTGAGGAAATATTTTTAAACCAAATTGTTCTTTTTTTTTTTTCTCACAAGAGAACAAAATTTATTCTAGAAATGTATTCTAGAAATCTAAAGTAAAAATGCTCAAGTAAATAGAAAATAATTGTCCCCATTAAAGTATAAGAGAAAAATTAATTTCTTCCCAGTGCTCATCATGCTTCATTTTCAAAAACAGCAGCTTCTAAAGTGTATCAGTTCTTTCTTCAAAGGTATGTCATTATAAACAATAGCATGAGGAATTCCAAACTGCGTTAGCTAGAATGGTTGCTTAAACAGTGCACCAGTGGCTGTGTGCTATTCTTTTTTTTTTTCTTGTCAGTTGTGAGGTCCTAGGCACTTTTACTCAAGACTAGCACTCTACCACTTTGAGCCACAGCTCCACTTCCCTATTCACTATTCTTTGCTTTGAAAAAGACAAGAAATTCAGAAATGACAAGCTCTCCTTTCCCCTAGAGTCCTGGCCAGATTATTTACTTCCAGATAAGAGATCTTAATTGAGCAGTCACACCTCTCTCCGGGTTGTTTAGAAGGCTAAAAGCCCACAGAAAGGCTTAAAGAAAGACCTATGTAAAGACAAAAATATATGGACTTCCATTAGAACTGGAAGATGAAGAGAAAAATGAAAGAGCTTTGGAGAAGGGAGCACAATTCTGTACATAGACTATACAAATGCATTTTGTTTCAAAAGTCTATGTAGACACTCTTGTTTTCCAAAGTGGATCCACCATTCCATAATTTCATTATTAATGGCTGTTGGTTTGGAGGCAGATATTTGAGTGTCCATGGAATATTACTATGTCACACCCATGGGGCAAGGGCTAGTATCTTCCTCTGTTCATTAGTCTCCTCAGGGTATAGAGTAGCACATGGCCTACATTAGGCCCTCTCTAAACACTTGAGGCAAGAATGGACAAGGAACCTGGAGTTACCTACATTCTGATCTATGCCTTGTTTGCAGCTGTTAGTGTTTCCTGAGTGTGTCTGTTACACAGACAAAGCCTCCAGTACCTGGAAATTACTCCCAGAGGTCTACTTGCCCAAGGTCTCCCAGGTAGCAGGGATGCTGGAATCTACTCACAGGTCTGTCTGAGTCCTCAAGCTCTCAGTATCTCTCCATGAAAATGTACCTGAAGGTAAGGCCCCAATGCACCATATCACCTATCTTAGTTGACAGGAGAATGTCTTGGCAGTGCAAAGCAGCTAGCAAAGGGCTTGGCACATGCTAGATTTAATAAACATTATCCAAGGGAAAAAATGAACAAAGATAGGAATAAGAGTCCTGAAACACACTGAGTCCTCCTCCTCCTCAAGGGCAGTACCACCTGTGAACTATCCACAGCTAGTGGCCAAGTGGCAGCTAGAGCAGGGTCAACAAGGACAGGCATGGGATAGAGCCCTCCTATCTCTTTCATGCTTCCTAAGGTGGGAGCGCCACATGTACACACACACACACACACACACACACACACACACACACACACACACACTCACACACTCACTCACACAATGCTGACAATAGAGGAGGGACACACAGGAAAAGAGCACTAATGTTCAAGAAAGGAATCAGACTAACAGCAGAGGTCACACAGACAGGGTCATGGCATCATACTGCAAGTGACCATCAGCGAGATCACTTAAACTCTGCATCTTCACTATGGCACCAGACCCTGGGGGCATAACAGTCCATGTTGAACACAATTTTCAAGACTACAAGCAATGTATATGATTGACTTACGGCATCTGTAAGAGCCGGGAGATGGTAGGCATGCCATTTTTACAGGCTTCACAAGACAGCGTAGACTCCAACACGGCCACTTAAAATGAACAGATACACATTTTAGTTCCACAGAACACACTGGCAGATTCACTTGGTGATGAAAAGTTTGACACCACTTTGCAACAACTGTCTGTAGGCTGATCAGGACAGTTATCAAAACTCTTCACACACAGACAGATGGCAAACGTGGGGGCAAGGAGATATTGGCACACTGGTGTTACTAACCACTCAAAAGAAATGCCTCAGAAACCACATGGTAACAGAAAGCTGAGTAATTTCAAAGGTAATTGGAGGAAGGATTTAAGACACCATTCACAAAATTGTTCTCTTAACAGAGAAGTTACCACTAACTATAGAGGCAAAAGTTCTGAACTTGAGAGACATTTTGTTGATTGTCTGCTTTAAATTTAAACTAGCACACAAAATGCTAACTGTTGATACCTTATCATCTAATACCTTGGATGATAAAAAGAAATGCAGCTAGAGTCTATTACCCACAGGTCAATGTGCAATTTCAGCTCCTCAAACTCTGCACAAAGCTGAATCTGGGTCTCTAGAATTGTCTCATTTGACACAGTGATACTTAGAGGAGTGTTGACTTGAATATATTCTAAGCACAGTGGCAAGTCCTGGGCTGGGTGAGAGGATGGGGGCTCTCTGGAAGTCTGTACTGGTTCCTATGCCTCTATCCCTAAGGTGCTTCCCACTTGGCCTCTGGTGTTCCTCAGCACCACAATGCTGGGGAGCTCCTGAATGCCATTTGAGAGTCTTCACACCTGGCTGGGCCTGTTGGGTTCTTACTATCAGCCTTCTAGCCATGGCTCTTGTGTTCCTTCCAAGTTCCACTTCATTTTGGTGTGGCTCCTGACACCTGCCAGGTCTTTAACACTGGCAACAAATTGCCTGGACCTGCCTTCTGCTTCTAATTAAGATTAATGTGGGCCATTATTTCTCTTTATATACTCCTACTTCCAAAATTACAATGCATTTTCCAAAAAGTTCCCCCAGTTTTAGATAGTTCAACAATGGACAAACCATCTGAACTTTCACTGAAGTGTATTTCTGCCTGTGGAGGATGGCAACTTCTGGTTCTTTCTTTGACCCTGGTTTCTGGACTCCAGAAAGAGGGCCAGAAGACTCTACTAAGCCCATTACTGACCCACTGCCATGGATGGTGCAGGAGGAAAGGAATCCACAGGCACTGAATCTGGTGGTCGCCCATATGTCATTTCATACAGTAAGTGGCCAAAGCAGTGGACATCTACACTTTCCAATGTCTGTAGAAGAAAGAGAACAGTGCTATATATTCTGCAGTTTGTTTTTGTGATCCCCACTGTCCCCACCCATGGCTTGCACTGACAAACTAGGTCCAGGGGTAGCCCCACTCCCAGCACAACTCCAAAATGTATTTTATGAAAGTTAACATTTGTGGTCCTATCCTTCACAGTTTTCTAATCAATGATTCTATTCCCTTTCTTGTCCCACCCACTATTTCAACTTAGCCTCCTGAAGATCCAGCAAAGCCCTATGGGAGAAATTGCGTCAATGAGCAAGGCCTACCCCAATTATATGTTTTACTGCTTAGTGCACATGGGCAGATCATGGGTCCTGCCATGATGACAATCTACTGCCTCATTACTTGAACAACTTACATTGATTTTCCTGAATTGTGTGAAGTAGGATCGGTAGTAGGAAGGAAGGCCCAATAGGGAATTCTCAAGGTCTAGCAGCCGGCAAGTGTCCCCATCTAGCATCACATTGGAAGCATGAAGATGTCCATAAGGGAATCCCTTGTCATGTAGAAACTTTAGTACCTATTTACAAATATGCAAGGTTATATTTCCCCCATAACTCATTCAAATATAAGGTATGTTGAGCTTGGTTGCTTTAAAAAATGTTTTTGACTGGGTACATAGTTTTGTGGTAAGTGGTATGTTCATCATTCATCATGTAAGAGGTCCAATTCTAAGTATAAAACAAGTTAATATATTTTGAAACAAAATCAAACTCACTACTGAGGAGACAGCTGGTTTAAAAAAATGTCACTCTGTCACTTCCTTTGGAAAAGGGAGTGCTGCTGAATATTTTCTGGCTGTGAGACTGTCAGATGTAACACCAAGCTTCCTCTTTTATAAAGAATACAGAAGCAGGTCTGAGAGCACAGCTTGGAAGCCAAAAGGTTCTGCAGAGCCTCTGATGTGATCTCCATAGGTCAGATCTCTTGATTTTCTTGCATTGACAAGTAAAGCAATCAGATCAGTGCTTCTGCCAGTTACTCAGATAAGGGCATGGAGCTGAAAACATCCCTAGTCTAATCTCTGCTCAGAACATATTCAGTTGCTTATTAATGGAAATATACAACATGCTATCACAAAAAGAAGCAAGCTTTTCGATTGCCAGTAATAGGGATGCCTCAAGCCTCAACACAGCCTGCAAAGTCCTGTGGTAAAACAGTTACAGGCAGTGCTGTGCCTTCCAGAACTAGAAGCAACTGTCACAGTTTCTCTTCCAAGTTGCTACTTTAAAATTTCTTTACCTTATACAAAATGTATTATTACTAGTATATGTGTATAAAAGTGGTTATGCTGAAAACTAAGATTGGGGGGCGGGGGATAGAATACTGGTCCTGGGGCTTGAACTCAGGGCCTGGGTGCCATCCCTGAGCTTTTTTGTGCAAGGCTAGTGAGTGCTCTACCACTTGAGCACAGTTCTACTGCCAGTATTTTGGTGATTAAAAGTCTTAAGACTTCCCTTCCCGAGCTGTCTTTGAACCACAATCCTCAGATCTCAAGTCTCCTGAGTAGCCAGGATTACAGATATGAACCACCAGTGCTTGGAAAGGCTTACATTCTTATTCACAAGAGTTGCATAAATTCAAGAAAACTAGAGAATATAAGTTAGAAGATGCTGTGGAAAAGACTTGCTTTCTCTTTCTCTCTTTCTTGGTGCTGGGAATCAAATCCAAGGCTTCGTGCATACAAATCACACACTCCAGCCCCAATGAGAAAGTCTTTCATTGCTGATTATACTTCTGTAAGAGAGCCATACGTGTGTGTGTGTGCGCGTGCACACTCGTGCGTGCACGCATGTGTGTTCATATCAGAAAATCCACGCACAGAGATAGAGATCAACCAAATAATACAGAAGCTGGCATCTAAATAATAAAGTTCTTAAAAATTAGAGAACAAATTCCAATAATTAAAGCTTTTGGAATTTTTAAGATCTAAATTACTGCCACCTTCATTTAACATTGGCTTGCTGGAAGAAAATAAGACAATGCTATCAATTTACAAGTAATCAGATGATGCTAGTAATTTCGAGGTCTTTACCCTAAGGAATATGTGGTTCTGGATAAAATTACACTGTAACTTAAAAATTACTTACTTCTAATATTTGTCGTCCATATGTTTTTATCTGATGGAGTTCAAGGCCCTGAATCTTCTTAGGGTTGCAGTACTTCTTTAGGAAAGGGTCCTTTGGTTTTGACTTTGGAAAGAAACAAAACAACAAAAAGAATATATAAGAAAGCAGTAGGAGAGGCTGGGAAGGTGGCTCAGTGGTAGGCCGCTTGCCTTGCATGCCTGAGGCCCTGGGTTCGATTCCTCAGCACCACATAAGCAAAAAGAAAAAAGCCGGAAGTGGTAATGTGGCTCAAGTGGTAGAGTGCTAACCTTGAGCTGAAGAGCTGAGGGACAGTGCCCAGGCCCAGAGTTCAGGCCCCACGACCGGACCCAAAAAAAAAAAAGAGGAAGAAGAAAAAAGCAGCAGCAGGAAGCTAATACCTGCACCTGAACTTCCTGAAAAGGCAATGCTCCACAGAAACAGGAGCTGTGGGTTTTTATTATATCACAGTCTGTAGCTGACAGAAAGAAACTGACTTGGGTTCTGTCCCTTCTGTATCCCAGGGATGATAAGCCTGTCACATATTAGCAGTCCAAAGGTGTTGAAGACTGTTAGAATTCTTCAGGACTGCCTTAAGTTCAAGACATAAACTTTATAGATAACCCAAGAAAGCAGCCTATAATATAATAGATTTGTATATTATATTATATATTGTATATTATATTATAGATATGGTATATCTATTATATCATTATATATATTAATATATTATAAGACTCATTAAATGTGCCCTGTTCCCTTGTGTGGAGAAAGGAATCATTTTTAACTAAACTGGATAGTCTTTCCAAACAGAAGACATTAAAATAAAACCCACTGGGCCTAGCTTTATGGAACCTTAGGTTTCACATATCAACAAGTTCTAAAGGAATTTGAGAATTTCATGACCATAACTTGTACCATAAATACCTTGTAGATCAGATCCTTCAAAGTTCCTTTTTCATTAAACATCCTAATTAGCAATACTGAAGATTCATTAGCTGTGGCAAAAGTAACCCGATAGATGTAAGGGTGCTGTCAAAACAAGAAAGGAATCCATTTTAATTTGTATCAGCATCTGGATTGTTTTAAGACTCAGAATCTCAAAAGTGTAGTGTCAGAAGGAATTGGTTAAATGACAAGGTAAGTTCTATATACAAAGGCATCTGCTTTAGTGTGTGCATTCTCAACGTTCAGTCAGTACTGTAGTAAAAAAAAGAGGAAAAACCTGTTTGTGGAATAATGGTTTTGATAAGAATACAGCCAACTCTCAGAACAGTCAAGTGGGAGATCAGAATAAATGTGTCTTTGCTCACAGCTTTGACTGGTATTCTATACTGCTGTCTGGGTACCAACCTAGGGAATGAAATATCCAGGAAGCAATCAAGAATAGTATCTTTTGGCATTGTAGCCCTTGTCCAGAGCAGCAATCACAAGCCTTTCCTACTCTTTTACAGAAATCTACAATATGACAAGCAATAGTGTCCTCCACAGATAGGGACACTGATGTCAATCAAATAGGGTAGAAAAGGCAAATTATTTACTGACTGAAAGAAAAGTTCTCATATAACCTCAGAGGAATGAATAAAAAGCTCTTCAAATAGTATCTCATATTTTTTCAGAAGATTAATAAAAAGCTTGGCACTGATGGTTCATATCTATAATTCTAAATACTCAGGAAGCTAAGATCTAAGGATTGTAATTCAAATCCAGCCTAGGCAGAGAAGTCCACAAGATTCCATCTCTAATCAACCAGCAAAAAAAGCTAGACTGGAGAAGTGGCTCAGGTGGTAGTATGTTAGCTATGAGCAAAAAAGCTGAGGGAAAAGTAGCGTAAGAGAATATAAGTTCTGAGTTCAAGCCTTGTGTGTGTGTTGGGGAATAGGATGGTACACTCATAAGAAAGTAATAACTGAAAATTTTAGTTCTTATTTCTAGGTAGTTAGGATTACAAATGAGTTTTATTATTTTTATCTGTATTTCCTGACTTTTCTATACTGTACTTGTATTCACTATCTTGTTTTTAAAGTACACATTCACAAAAAGAAATTTAAATGTGGGTATTGACAACTTGTATTATACAAACTCAATACAACAGTATTTTTCCTTAGGTATACATCCTTAATGGCTTGTTTTTGCTATCCTGACAAAAACACTTTATCTTTAAAACAGAATTTGCCAACCCAAGTCAGTGTTATTGTGCTCAGCCCATGAATGACTCATCCAGGGTCCTACAGCCTTGTAGGACCAAATTAGTCTTTGCTGAAGATTCTGTACACCTATTTTGAAATGTGTCACTGTCACTCTTTCAGGCTGTGGATTAGAACTGGGCATTAATTAACATAAATAATGCATGCTTTCCTACTTAGCCTGTGAAAGTAATAATGCTGACAGAAAAAAAGCTATTTTGCTTTTCTTCCACCTAACTTGCCTAATCCTTAATAGTTCTGACTTCTCAGGCTAGAAATAAATCTTTGATTTCCATTGATAGACATATGCCTACCAAGAACAAGAGGCTCTGAGAAGGGACTGCCTTCCTATTCTAATATTTGTTTAATTCCACATTTCACTGGCTATACAGATGTCATATCTGCCATTTTTTTTTTGGGGGGGGGGTGTCAGTCATGGGCTTGGGCGCTGTCCCTGTGCTCTTCAGCTCAAGGTGAGTGCTCTACCACTTGAGCTACAGCACCACTTCCAGTTTTCTAGTGGTTTATTGAAGATAAGAGTCTCATGGACTTTCCTGCCTGGATTGGCTTAGAACAGCGATCCTCAGATCTCAGCCTCCTGAGTAGCTAGGATTAATGTCTGCCATTTTTATATGGCTTCTGATCTATGCCAGTAGCCCTGCACAGTTTCAGTCTGAAATCCACTGAATTCTCTTATACCTACAGGACATATTCAGCTCTTCTACCCATGTTTACCCTCAAGAAAACACTACAAGTCTGTGATCAGCACAGAAGGATTTGTACTCACCAAACAGGAAGGCAGAAGTTTGATGAGACACTGAAAATCACGATCTGACAAGTACTTGTCTGGACCAAGATCAGCCTGAAAACACAGAAGGAAACATCAGGATACTGCCTTTGTTCATCAAAAGAAAAACTCCTCATATATTTTCCCTTTAATTTTGTTTTTCTAAATATATGACCACAAAAAGAGACAACCACAATAAATTAAGTCTTACTGTGTCAAGGCCTTTCTGGAGAAGGAGTATATAAAACATCTAAATATCAGGACTGAACCAGTGACCTCACCTAATTCCACTGACCAAATGTATGACTAGAATTCCCAAAGTAAAAGAAACAAGCTCAACTATTTTCTCTGGAAGTACATTCTAAAACTGACAGCCCCAAAGAGATTCCAGAGAACTCTTTTCAGCTCCTATTTCTTCCCAAAAGTTTACTAGTTGACTAAGTGTAATTATATTTACACAACCAAATACATATCAATGTGACTTATAATGACTCCCCTTTGATGGACTGAGAAAGCACTTACATCATCTCTTAATAGCACAATACAATTTTGTAATTCTCTTGTCAAATCCACTTTCATAAACTGATCTGAATTTCCTGAAATAAAACTGAAGCAAAAGAATGAGCTTACCCAGCTTAACACTAGCCGTTCCTTTGGCTGATTTTTAATCTTCATCAAGAAATATTTCTTCCTTATCCTCCAACCTACCACAAAAGCAGAAGTATGTTTATAGCTGAATATTTTTACAATTTACCAAAATTAAATTCAGCAATATTAGCCACAAATATGTAAGTACCAGTGAAACCACGTGATAATCTTCACATGGAAAGGCTATGTTAAAAAAATAAATGAAGAAATCACTTCATGGACATATTAGGAAAACAGTACTTCAACTGAGATTTACTGAGAAAAGCAGAAGAATGGTAGTTCTGAAAGATATCACCATAAATTGATATTACCAGAATTCATTAAATAGTATTCATTAATTAGTAAAAACTAAGGACAATGTCGCGCTGTAGTAGGGAAACAAAAAGAAAGAAATTTAAGAATTCTTAGAATTTAAGAGCTTTCTTAGGATTATGTATCAGCAGATACGACTAAGAATCTGGTTTTATGATCCATATTTTAACATAAAGAACATGAGTTGCTTACCTATGTCTTTCAATGGTTCTACCACCTCCCACTTTGGTTCTGACCGGAAAAACATGGAAACATGTTGTAAGGCAATCTCTGAAAAAGCATTGAAGAAACTCATTAGTCAGACATATTGGGAAAAGGTCATATGGTCCAGATATTATTCCTACAAGTTAAAACCATGCAATCTATGACATGTGTGTATCTGTTGTTGTTGGTGGAGGTGGTGGTGGTGTGTGTGTGTGTGTGTGTGCGTGTAACATGTACACATGCCAGTACTGGGACTTGAACTCAGAGCCTGGGCACTGTTCCTGAACTTTTGGTGACTAATTGAAAATAAGAGTCACACAGAAAGCCAGGTGCCAGTGGCTCACGCCTGTAATCATAGCTACTTAGGAGGCTGAGATCTGAGGATCGTGGTTCAAAGCCAGTCAAGGCAGGAAAGTCTGTGAGACTCTTATCTACAACAAAGCACTAGAAAACCGGAAGTGGCACCGTGCCTCAAGTGGTAGAGCACTCGCCTTGAGCTGGAGAGCTCAAGGACAGAGTCTAAGCCCAGAGTTCAAGCCCTACTACTGACAAAAAAAAAAGAGTCGCACAGATATTTCCTGCCTGGGCTGGCTTCAAACAAAGATCCTCAGATCTTAGCCTCCTGAAGATTACAAGTATAAGCCACCAGAATTTGGCTATGACCTTTTAAAAAGTTAATTACAACGGGCTGGGAAGGTGGCTCAGTGGTAGAGTGCTTGCCTTGCATGCCTGAGGCTCTGGGTTGGATTCCTCAGCACCACATAAGCAAAAAGAAAAAAGCCAGAAGTGGCGCTGTGGCTCAAGTGGTAGAGCGCTAGCCTTGAGCTGAAGAGCCGAGGGACAGCGCCCAGGCCCAGAGTTCAGGCCCCACGACCAAACCCCCCTCCCCCCCCCCCCCCCAAAAAAAAAGTTAAATACAAGGCTGGCTTGGCAGTAGAGTTACCTGTATAGCAAGCCTGAGGCCCTGAGTTCAAATTTCAGGAACACCATGGGGAAAAAATGAAGAGTCAAAACTTAATTACAAAAAAATAAATTAAATCTCTACAATCACCGCAACCTTACATAAAACTAAAACTATTCCAAAATTATAATATTGAAGAGCAAAAATATAGTTATTAATATGAAAAAATATTTTTAGACTGAAGAATCTAAAATATATAAACTAGCTAACTATTTCAAAACCCAAGCCCAGGACTCAAAACTGTACTCTAAGGTCAGACTGGAACAGCATGCTCCAAGTGATATTTATCCCATCTTCATTCCTCATGGGATTATAGCTTTCACCACAAAGAAGTGATTAGCCTTAAATATATGCTGGAAATAAAAGACAGTGTTTTAGAAAAAACATCTATGTTCAGCAACAACATGGATCTATTGTGGGAAGTCAACAAGTATCTGTTTACTGGAAAAAAGGAATCCACCCTCTTGTTGTTCATTTATCATAAGAACATTTCCTCCTTTTAAGAACACAATGAGAAGAGGAAGTTCTTTAAAGTTCACAGTATTAATAAAGTATCAGAATAACTGTGCTTTTTACATTTCCTACATTTCCTCACAGTATCTCAATATAGAGAATAAATAAAGCCCCTCTAGATTCCTTAAAGCAAAGAGCACTCTTCCAAAGCATTACGGAACTTCACCTCTGCCCAACATTAAGTTTCAAGGAGACTGGTGAAGCGTGAGGAACTCAGCAGCAATTCTATATTATGTCAAAATGACCTCCTCAAATTACCATGCTAAGAGCTTGCCAAACAATATTATTTTGATTCATTTTACAGAACATTATGATTAACAAAAATAGGGGAAGAAAACAATTTTCTAGCTATCTGTTTACTGACTCAAGATGTAAATGTAAAGTGTCAGAAGAAAATGTGCGATTACCAAACACAAAACTAGCTCCATTTATATTTGTTATAACTACCATTTGGAAGGACTGGGTATAGCAGGAGCACATACATTTTTATTAACATAGGGAACTCTGACCTCCTCTATAATGAGTTGATATGAAGTATTTCAGTATTTCCTGAACAATTTGAAAATAAACTCAAAAGGAAATTGCTTTAAGATCATTCATATCAGTTTTGAGAAGAATCATAAACAGAGAATGTCATTTCAAGAGAATGCAAGAATAGTTGTTCAAAAGTAACAGTGATTCATATTTGTAACTTCCTACAAAATCATTCAACAATAATATTTTTCCTATGCTATAGACATTGTTTTAGAAATGGGCAAGGAGCAGTGAACACAGGAGAGATTTGTAAGTTATAAACTGAGGACTGAAAAACAGATTTTGGAGAAAAAGGCATTTTCTTTCACTGAATTATGATTTAATGTCAAATAAAGCCCATGTTACCAGGCTCTCAATATTAAATGTCCTCCCTTCTCGGATTCAAACAACACATTACAATCAAACATCTACAGCTCTACCTTTCTTTGTTCCCCAATTGCTTATTAAACCAAGACCAAGCTGCGAACCCTACTTTTCTACCTACCTCTGGCTTAAGTGAGATTTTCTGACTTCATCTTCCCAATGTGTGGTGTCTCACACTCTCAGATTTGCCTCCCATGGCCCCTAAAGACTGGCCTGCCCCCAGTCTCTCAGCATTTCCCATTTGGCCCATCTAATCCTCCAGCCTCAGCCCAAACTTGCTGCTCCCTTGGCCAGGATTCTCTCCCTCTTTCTCTCTCTCATGGGGTTACCAGGGTATTAGGATGACTCTCTTCTACTACATTGTAAACTGGCTGGAAGGATACCTCTTCAACTGGGTAAAGTCTAGTGCCATTTGGAAATACTTCTTTCTCCCTTAGGCTGCTCTGTCTGGAGCACTGGCCCCTTTCTCTCAGCCCTGACTAGCTTGGCTCCCTCATTAGATTGCAGTGTAGATCTCACCTTGGCTAGGAGGCCCTCTTCCATCTCCTGGTCTGAACCATCTGTACTTTCCAGCCTTCATCTCACCATCCCTCTTCACCAGAGTGCTGGCTTGTGTTTATTCAGCCATAGCCATTACCTGTCCATCTCCATGCTGAAGTGTTTTAAGGTAGGTGAAGAGACTGACTATTCCTTTCTCCTTGCTGTATACATAGCAGCTCTGACCAAGAACTAAGGGTTCAATGGTTGTGGAACCTCTCATCAGAGCATGAAGCCATGATAAGACAGGCATCTGCCCTCTCCTCTAGCATGGATGGACATGTGGAGTAAGATACAGCTCATGCTCAATGTGTGCTGGAGACAAAACCATGGCAGGAAGGGCAGCCATGCCCAAACCACCCTTTGTTTCTTAAGCTCAGATGAAGCAGGTGTCCCCACTGTAAACAGTCTTTGAACTTCTACATACCAGCCCCCTGGCTGGCCATGAGAACAAACACTGACTCCACCTGCCCTGCAGCTGGGGTCCAGACCTCCAGTCTACTGCAGCATCCTCATCTTTGTCCTGTGTTGTCCCCCCACCCCAAACATCCTGCTTCTGTTCTAACTACAATCCCCCACTGTAACCCCTCCCTCTTTTATCCTACTAGTTGAAGGATTCCTGGGGCTTTAGGACTAAAAGGGAACTTCAATAACTCCTGGTCCTTTCCTCTCCTTCCCAGACCCTTGTTTCATAATTCAGGATCCCTGCGGCACTTAGGGGAGGTGCTGCTAAAGACAAACCTGGGACAATCCAGGCCTCCTGCTTCCTGGTTCAAATGACTATCAGTGATATTAAAACCCTCTTACCCTGAGCAGATGTGGAGATGTGGTTTGAAGTGAGAATAGGGCTACCTGCAGAGTGGCTTTTAAATAATAGAAGTGGCTTGTTGGATAAATATAGGCTGGGCCAGGTTAGGTGCCAGTGGCTCACACTTGTAAACCTAGCTACTCAGGAAGCTGAAATTGGAGAATTGTGGTTCAAAACTAACCCAGGCAGGAAAGTCTGAGACTTTTATCTCCAATTAACTACCAAAGGAACCTGAAGTGGAGCTGCAGCTCAAGTGGTAGAGCACTAGACTTGAGCACAAAAGCTCAAAGACAGGGTTCAAGCACTAAGTTCAAGCACCAGGACAAAAAAAAGAAAAGATGAATACAGTACTTAAGGGGTGTATAAATGTTTGCACAAGTGCATGAGTGCATGCATATGTGTGTGTTTGTGTGTGTGCGCGCGTGCGGATGCAGGCATGCACAACTCCTCCCAACTAGGAGACATCTGTTTTCCTTGTTCAGTAGATTACCCTCAAGTACACTTTAATTAAATAAGCATCAGTCCTCCCCGAGGACAAAAGGTCTAATTTACCTTTGGTCCCATTTACCTGTGCATTTGGTAATCTAGAGTAAAACCAGATAAGAAAGGTAGGCCAGCAATCCCAAATAAAAATTTTAAGTTTAAACACCAAGTTCATCAAGCATAGTTCATTCAAATGTAGTCTGAGCATTGGTACAGTATCTTAACAAAAAGATCATAGGCAATGAATTATTTGTCTCACAGGACATTCAATTGATTTGAAATAAGAAAAGACATATTGTTAAAAGAATCTGACAAAATGATATCTCATTCTAATGTTCTTAGAATTCTACCAGTGATGGCTGAATCTTCTCTATCATAGAAAAAAAAAAAAAAAGCCTGAATGGCTAAGGCTATCCTTACAACTGTAATATATATATGCCATCTCCTCTAAGAAGAATCTTAGCTGTAATCTGATCAAACTGGGAGTCAGTGCACACATTTATCATACAGCTTTATAGCATAGAATGTTAAGTCAGAGGCAATCAGATGCATGGAGATTTGGTCTACAGGCAATCTGCTATAATATGGCATACTACGTAGTGGCTAAATTATCAGCATCAATTTACTAACTTGGATCCAATTTCAAAGGGTTTCATTTTTTTTCCTCCAATTTTGGAGTTATCTCTGAGTTGACCGTGTAAAATCTGAATGCAAACACCTGAAGGGGCAAGTTCTTGTGACCAAGTACCACACAAATGACACTCCATGCTACATCTAAGCTCAATTTGCTTATAAATGCCTTCTAAGTAGGCACACTTATTTTTCTTTTCTTTTCTGGTGGAGGGAGGTAAGAGGAAAGGTAGGGGTAGTGGCTTGAACTTAGAGCCTGGGAGCTGTCTTTTAGCTTTTTCTCTCAAGGCTGACATTCTACCACTTGCATCACAGTTCTACTTTTGACTTTTTGCTAGTTAATTAGAGATTTTTTTTAATTTATTATTTTCTATTTTTGGGGGTCCAGTCGTGGGGCCTGAACTCTGGGCCTGGGCACTGTCCCTCAGCTCTTCAGCTCAAGGCTAGCGCTCTACCACTTGAGCCACAGCGCCACCTCTGGCTTTTTTCTTTTTGCTTATGTGGTGCTGAGGAATTGAACCCAGGGCCTCAGGCATGCAAGGCAAGCGCTCTACCACTGAGCCACCTTCCCAGCCCAGATTTTTTATTTATTATGTATTTATTTTTTGTTGGTAGTGGGGACTAAACATTGGACCTGGGTGCAGCCCCTCAGCTCTTCAGCTCAAGGCTAGCATAGAGATTTTTTTTTTTACTGTCTCATGAACTTTCTTGCCCCAGCAGGCCTCAAATTGCAATCCTCAGATCTCAGCCTCCAGAGTAGCTAGGATTACAGGAATGAGCCTCTAGTCCTGGTGAATGCTTGAACATAGAACTCAAATCCTGCTGAAGCAAAGGTGGTAACCACAGACCACTTAGAAACTGAAAAGAAACAGTATCCATACTCAAAGGGAGAAGTGGCTCTGCTCTAAGAACCACAGCTGGGAAATAGGTGGCATGCATCTGGGAACTTCAGCCATGCTATGCATTTCAAGAATGATTCTAGAGAGCTGGCAGGAGAAGGAAGCCTGGGTTTCCCTTTCCTGATACTACTAGAGAGTCTGCCAGAGGCAAGACAACTTTTGACATTTCATTCAAAGGGGGAAGTAAATCATCACTTCTCATATATTATTACAGGACTCTACTCTCTACAGTGTGGCTAGACTTGTGAGCATTTAAATTCTACCAGAAGTAGCCTTTTTATACCGCTCTCCACATCTGCTTTACACTTCTAACGATCCATCATGCTGTCATGGAAGGAAAAGATCAAGAATAACAGCAGAGGGAGGAGGTATAGTAGAGGGAAAAACAAAACAAACAAAAAACCCAAACCAAAAAGATCAGATAACCTTCCAAGAGCCAAACAATATTTTAACTTGAAAAAAAAAATCAGGCCAGAATATAGTCACACAAATGTACAACACTGGTTAAAGCACACCCAACCTAGGACTTTAATATTTTCCTTTACTGAAAGATAACAAGGTAAACTCTCAAGGCAACAGCTTTAAGATCCCTTCTAAACTGAGCACTGGTGGCTCACACCTGTAATACTAGCTGCTCAGGAGTCTGAGCTCTGAGGATCATAGTTCAAAGCCAACCCAGGCAGGAAATTACATGAGACTCATCTCCAATTAACTACCAGAAAACAGGAAGTGGCACTGTGGCTCAAGTGGTACAGCACTCACCTTGAGCTGAAGAGCTCAGGACAGCACCTAGGCCCAGAGTTCAAGCCCCATGACCATCCAAAAACATAAATAAATAAAGACGCCTTCTAGTATGGACTCATGTAAACCCATGTACTTCTACAATGAGCTCCCTGAGAACAAGAAGCTCATCTGCTTTGCGCCTGCAGCCCCTACACTCAGCCTAGTGGCTGGCGCATGGTGTAGCAGGGGTGTGATGCTGGTTGAGTGAACAGAATCAGTACATGTGCACTACATCTGAATGCTTGTTTTCAGGGGAAAAAAATCAACAGATACTCTCAGGAAATAAAATCAGCAAAATAAGAGGGCTGAGTTAGGCTGACTTGATAAGCCAATCTAAATGATTTGCTGAGAATTGTAGGAACAGTAACAGGTAGAGCGTGGAGAAAGCCACAGAAGATGCTATTCTCCCAGAAATGAAGTTGTCCTGAGGGTTCCAGTTCTGTCTATGAGGTTGTTCTCTAACATCAAACAAAATAAAAGGGGGGAGTTTGAAATAAATTTTCCTTCTCTTTGCTGAATTCTGAAAAGGCATTTTCCTTGGTCTATATGGCACTTCCACAGCAACTTCACTCCATACCAAGGCCTCTCATACTTTAATGTGTACACAAGGCCTTTCATACTTTAATGTGTACACAAGTCACCTGGGGGGGACCTGTTCAAGTCAGATCCTGACTCAGCAAGTCTGGGATTGAACCTGAATTCTGTACTTTCCACAAATTCCTCCTTCATGTCATTGCCGTGGGTCTGAAACAACATTGTGAGTAGCAAGTCTCAAAAGGACTGTGGTTTGGTTTGGTTTTAAGCTTGGCTGTATAATGGAATCACTTGGAGAACTTCACAAACTATAAACCTCACTTGCTGAGGTTCTTATTAAAAGGGATGAAAATGAAAATGAAAAGTATCTCCCTCTACTTTAAAATATTTCTGTTTTTTGTTGGTGATAGTTTTTTGCGTGCCAGTCCTGGGGTTTAAACTCTGAACCTCAGTGCTATCTCTAAGCTTTGTGCTCAAGACAAGCACTCTACCACTTGAGCTACAGTTCCACCTTTTTTTTTGGTGGTGGTTAACTGAAGATAAAGAGTCTGATGTAACTTCCTGCCTGGGCTAGCTTTGAACCATGATGCCCAGATCTCAGCCTCTTGAGTGGCTAGGATTACAGGTGTGAGCCACCAGTGCCTAGCAATAACAATGTTCTAAAGACACAATTATAGGATAATACCTATTCTCTTAGCCATAAAACTAACATATCCAGATTTCCATTTACAAAGCCCCCAAGCATAGCTAAGTTTTAAACAATCAACTGCATTCTATTTATTGGTTCAAGTCTATGGTAGTTTCTATTGGTATCTTCAAGGCCACAGTAGAGTTTATTAAATATTTATTTCTTCCTTCTGCTGAAAGCACACCATTCTGCTGACATGAGGTTATTGATGCTGGTCTGTTTGTGTAATTCGTATTGGAACAGAAGCCATTTTCCATTTCAGATCCCTGGCAACACGGTGGTGATGGAGGAAGATGTAGAAGAGAGCTATCTTCTATGAGTGTTCCAAGGAACAAATAGGAAAGACCCTTCTGAATCACTGTTGGGTTTAAAGTAAATCTATGGAAAAATCAGATTCCCTGTATAAAAAACCCAAGTACAAAAAAATTGAGATGGGGCTGGGAAGGTGGCACAGTGGTAGAGCCCTTGCCTTGCATTCCTGAGGCCCTGGGTTCAATTCCTCAGTACTACATAAGCAAAAAGAAAAAAGCCGGAAGTGGCGCTGTGGCTCAAGTGGTAGAGCGCTAGCCTTGAGCTGAAGAGCTGAGAGACAGCGCCCAGGCCCAGAGTTCAGGCCCCACAACCGGACCCAAAAAAAAAAAAAAAATTGAGATTACTGTATATATTACTTTGGATTATTTGCTCCCTCCCTGACAGAAGGATTTTAAAAAAGACTATAAATATGTGCTAAAAGTGATCACTTAACTATCTGGGCAGACATTACAAAACTAAAAATAATTTATGTCTCTCATAAATCTACAGTAAATTACAACCAAGTAAGTCTTCAGAAATAAACACAACAATTTTTTCCAGATATTTATCGCCTACTAAGTCCAGTGTCCTACAAGATCATAGCTCATAGCTCCTTTTGGCTTACCTGTGTAGTTTGCAGAATAGTTGTTTGGATCTAAAAACTTCTTAACCAGCTCACAGTTAGACAAGATATGATTTGTGGTGATAACGTTGAGATAATTCTGAAGACCTTTCTGCCTCTCAGCTATGAATTCACGATCCATGTTCCCAATCAACTTTTTGGGAGGAAGAGGTAGACTTAGTCCTGTAATCTTTTAAAAATAAAGAAATAAAAAGGTTATTATATTATCCACAAATAAAGTTGATATCACAACCCTGAACTGTCATACCTCAGGAAATTTAAGACAACATAGATTTTAACATGTATCCTAATTTTGGTGATAATATAAAATGTGAAAAAACTGTACATTTTAGAATTGATAAAATTCTATACAAAGTACAGAACTTTCCAACTTTAATTTTATTTTTACAAGTCTTATAGGAAGGCCAGGTACCAGTTACTCATGCCTGTTATTCTAGCAATTCAGGAGGCTGAGATCTGAGGATTGAATGTTCAAAGCCAGCCTGGGCAGAAAAATTGGAAACTCTTATCTTGAATAAACCATTAAAAAAAAAAAAAAAAAAGGAAACAGAGGTGACTCAAGCCGTATAGTGACAGCCTTAAGCAAAAAAGCTAAAGGGACTGTAACCTCTCTATACATCACCTTTACAACAATAATAAAAAATTTAAAGTAATTTTTTAATTAAAAAAAGCTAAAGAGTACACCCTAGCCCTGAGTTCAAGTCACACACAGTACCAGCACACACACAAACAAGTCATATATGAACATAATATCAAGAGAAAATTAGTTTCAAATTAATTAGTTTTAAAAAATTATTATGTGGGGACAGGAGGGAAAAACTGGGAGAAAAGTGAGGGAAGGGGTGAGACTCTCTAAAAAGAAATGTACTCACTACCTGACTTACATAATTGTAACCCCACTGTACATCACCTTTGTAATAACAATACAAAAACAAAAATTTTAAAAATTATTTCTGTCAGCCCCATAATATTAGGTCCCCAGAAACTCCCACCTGCAGATGACATATCCATCTTCCACTTCCCAGGAACAGCCCCATTCAATCCTTTCAACTGATCTTTTGGCACTGGAGAATATTCATTAGTTATTACTGGAGTTTTTACTTCCAGGAAGTGTCTAAATTTCCTACTAACTATGGAAGACATGGGTCAAGTTCTCTTTCACAGTTCTGACTTTAACCTGCACACATTCTGTCTCCATCTTTATAGTACCGTTACTTAAGTTTAGTGTATTCCATGTTTACATTAGATAAATATGTGTAACAACTGTTCAATCTCTCAGAGGTTCTGTGATATAAATTGGGATTTTAATGACACTATAGACTACTCTTATTAGAATTCTGTCTTCCTAAATCCGCTTAATTATGGACTCTTATCGACTGGCTTTTCAGTTCAAAATATTTCTTATATTTGTCTCTTCTGTTATTTAATTTGTCCTGGGGGAAGGGGGTAGGGTAAAAGGGGGAGAGAGAGAGAGAGAGGAATAGAGGAGAGGTGTAGAGATAGATAAGAGTGTATATGTGTAAAGTCAATTTACTATTATTTACAATGGTTTGCAAGGAAGGAAAAGTAAATGCAGGTGCTTTATACTGGACCATTTTCTAGGCCACTTAAAGCTTTCTGAGTGTATTTTTGATACATTAAATACAAAGCATCAGATTGGCACTTTAATTTTGCAAGTAGAGTCACTTTCAAGGAGAAGTGTTATCTGATGCTACTGCTTAGAGAGCAGTCCAAGTGGCATGTGTATTGATTGGGGTAAGGTCTAAAGAAGGTCATCTTGAATTCAGAAAAGGAAGTAATCAAACCCACTCAAGTGGACAAACTTAAGTTAGACTGTTTCACTGTGTATTTTTCAAACAATTATGCAGCCAGAGAAAGACCTTGAAGTTAACACTGGACAAGACCACAAGGCACTAGCTGATAATTCTAAATTGCCTATTTCTCCAGCATAATTACAAAAATATGCCAGAGTACAATCAGTGTGAATTTTCTTATCATAGTATAATTCAATGCTAGATAAAACATTTAAATTTCAAGTTGTTTTCCTCATACAATTAGGTTTTACTTAGCTCCAGTTTCTGTATTAGCTTAGTGTTTTCTCATGCAGGATGTATAAAGGTAGCTATCCAAGACAATCATTTCATTTTGTTCAGAGGCATTAAGTATTATAAAAGGGCAATATATAATCTAAAACAATAGATAAATCATATTTTAAAATTATTTTACAAAATTCCAGAATATAATCTAATCCAGGGACATATGCTTATATTGGCCTAAAAAATGTATAAAAGGACTCACATTAGCTGCTTGACAGTAGCTACCTCTGTGAGTAGGTTAATTTTTATTCCCTACTATAAAATGTTTGTAATGCTCCTTTATTATTCTTTTTCAATTGAAAAAGAAAGAAAATCCCTTTTGCCTATCAAACTGATTAGTAAAGATTCAAAAAATTACTACTGACCTATATCAATTCTTTGCCTGCATGGTCCTCAGAAGTGCCACCTGAAATCCACATTACCCAAAAAGGGGAGTCACACCTAACATCCTTGGTTCAGGCTCCAATACTTTGGCTATTTTCCATTCAAGGTAAGGATGTGAAAATGGATTTAATAAAATAACTGTCATTAATTGTGACGCCCGACTGTTAATCCATCTATTTTCTCAAGCTTTGCTTCATTCTAGGAAAATGTATTAGTGAGCTTAGATGTCCCACCAGTTCTTCTTTTTTTTTGGGTCCGGTCGTGGAGCCTGAACTCTGGGCCTGGGCACTGTCCCTCAGCTCTTCAGCTCAAGGTTAGCGCTCTACCACTTGAGCCATAGCGCCACTTCCGGCTTTTTTTCATTTTGCTTATGTGGTGCTGAAGAATCGAACCCAGGGCCTCTGGCATGCAAGGCAAGCGCTCTACCACTGAGCCACCTTCCCAGCCCCTCCCACCAGTTCTTCTAAGTCATTGGGGTTCTTTGTCAACAGCTACCATAAGTGTCCCTGTCATGTCAGATAAAGCTGCAGGTAATTTACCTGCCCTAACTGCTCTAACAGTATTTCCAAAAATACTAAAATTTTTCAATGTGTATTAATTTTGAAATTTTGCCTCTTAAAGAATATTAAAGAGTCACTTATTTTCTCTTTTAGATTTCTCCTAGAATTTCTAAAATGTTTAGCAGTCAAAGAATATAACATTTCAAATGCCAAAGACTAATTAGAAGGAGGGGGAACAGTCAAGCATCGATGGCTCACGCCTGTAATCCTTGCTACTCAGAAGGCTAAGATCTAAGGATGAAGGTTCAAAGCCAGCCTGGTTAGGAAAAGTCTATGAGATTCTTACTTCCAGTTAACCACCAAAAAGCTGGAAGCGGAGCTGTAGCTCAAGTGGTAAATCACTAGCTTTGAGCAAAGAAGCTCAGGGGCAGTACCCAGCACCTGAGTTCAAGCCCCAGGACTGGCATAAAAGAAAAGGAAAGGAAAGGAAAGGAAAGGAAAGGAGGAAGAATGCTAGCACATACAAAGTTCAAGTCACTAAGCCACTGATTTCCTAGACACCTCCACATCAAGACTTCAAGGTAGGACATCTCATCACCTCACTTTCCCTTTTAATGTGTCCCTTGGTGTCCCTTCTTGAGTTCCTCTTAGAAAAAAAGAGAAAGAGAAGCCAAAAGAGAAGTCCTCTGAATTCCATTCATAACAACTGCAGAATGACAGAGCAAAGGGGATGATCCCAAAGTGGGGCCTGAGGCCCGTAATCTAATTTACACAAGCCTAGTAGAAACTTGTCAATTACATGACAAACTATATTTTGGCTCCAAAAAAGCTACGTTTCTTTTTGTTGCTGCTGCTGTTGTTTCAGTCATAGAGCTTGAACTCAGGGCTTGGGCGCTACTCCTGAGCTTGTTTTTGCTCAAGGCTAGGGCTTTACCACTTTGAATCATAGGTCTACTTCCGGTTTTGCAATGATTAACTGGAGTTTCAAGTCACAATCTTTCCTTCCCAGGCTGGCTTCAAACTGCAATCCTCATATCTCAGCTACCAGTACCCAGTTTTTGTCGGGAGGAAAACTCTCCACATATGAACTTCATCTCTCTTTACGCCCTTCCATCATCAAATCTTAATGATCTGCAAATTATAATAATAATTATATTATATTATTGGAGTATGTATCTTATTTCAAATGCAAATAGCCACATGAATTGATGTTGGCTTGTGTTGGGTAGAGTATGGCCAGACATCATATATATTATATATATTATAATTATATTATTAAATAATAATATTTCAGTCTGGAGTTCTAGGGAGTTCTTTTTTTGTGTTTGTGTTTTTTTTTTTGGTCCGGTCGTGGGGCCTGAACTCTGGGCCTGGGCGCTGTCCCTCAGCTCTTCAGCTCAAGGCTAGCGCTCCACCACTTGAGCCACAGCACCACTTCCGGCTTTTTCTGCTTATGTGGTGCTGAGGAACCGAACCCAGGGCCTCATGCATGCAAGGCAAGCACTCTACCACTGGGCCACCTTCCCAGCCCTGGAGTTCTAAGCTCTCAACACATGCTTTATGTGTCCCATTTTCCCCCTAGTACACAGCAAAGTCTTGCCAGGGTCAAGAATGGCAATAAAATTTGAATCATATGGTGTCTGTGCTTCAAGAGACCTTAGAAGTTACCCCTTCATTTCAGATGGAGAAAGGGAAGCCTAAAAGGTCTCACTATTAACAAGAGGGGGAACCTGCGTTCTTCCCTCAGTCTAAGCTGCAAGGTCCAGGTTCTCTCCATCTGCTCCTCCCTTTTTATTTGTTGTACACTGTTTCTCTGAGTGCTTAACTTGATGCTGCATTTATTTAAAATAAGCTAGTAATTTTTTCTTTGTTGTTACATTGACATATTCTCACTTTACAGTTCTTAGAAAACAAAGCCATTTTCTATTTTCTTAATCATATAGCTTATGTGAGCTTGTTTGAAAAGTACAGAGCTACACATAGCCATAATACTGCTACCTGTAAACATTTTGGCACATTCATTTCAAGTTTTTTTCCCGCTAAGTATTCAATGGAAATTTTATATTCTGTAGTTACTATCACTGAGATAGATCCTATTGGACTCCATACATATATTTCTTTTTCTTTTTTCTTTTTTTTGCCGGTCATGGAGCCTGAACTCTGGGTCTGGGTGCTGTCCCTCAGCTCTTCAGCTCAAGGCTAGCGCTCTACCACTGGAGCCACAGCGCCACATCCGGCTTTTTCTGTTTATGTGGTGCTGAGGAATTGAACCCAGGGCCTCATGCTTGCAAGGCATGCACTCTACTGCTGAGCTACCTTCCCAGCCCCCATATATTTCTTTTTCTTCCTAAGAAACTCATTTATCTGTAAAAAGTAATTGGACACTGAAAATCATGGTCAGTTTCATTCTGTGGTTTTGGAAGCCTTCAGCGACTGTCTTATGGCAGTTGTTTTGAAATTCTTTTTTTGCCAAAAAAGCAGTATGTACCTTTTCTGTTTGTTTACTTGGATCAAGAAAAACCTCCCACGGAAATGATGTCTGGCCATACTCTACCCAACACAAGCCAACGTCAATTCATGTGGCTATTTGCATTTGAAATAAGATACATACTCCAAGTGCCCATTTAAAAAAGGAAAATCACACTGAAGCAAAAATAAAATTCTGTTCTATTATAGGCCATAATTGAATAGCCATGGAGATTCAGCCTTCTATCTCCAAAGTGAGAGTAAACAGGAGATAAAACCCTTCCTTCCACCCCATATTCTTTTTTTTTTTTTTGGTTGTGGGGCTTGAACTCTAGGCTTGGGCGCTGTCCCTGTGCTCTTCAGCTCAAGGCGAGCGCTCTACTGCTTGAGCCACAGGACCACTTCCAGTTTTCTAGTGGTTTGTTGAAGATAAAAGTCTCATGGACTTTCCTGCCCGGGCTGGCTCTGAACCGTGATTCTCAGATCTCAGCCTTCTGGGTAGCTAGGATTAGAGGCGTGAGCCACCAGTGCCCGGCTTCCACCCCATATTCTTAAAGGCTGGTCTAGGCAATGTCAACTTCAGAAATATTTCTCCCACATTCTTATTCAGCTGTGGCAAATAAAAAGCTGCAGATTTAGCTGAGTACCAGTGGCTTATGCCTATAATTCTAGCTACTTGGTTGGCTGAGATCTGAGAATTGTAGTTCTAAACTAGCCCAGGTACAAAATGGCACTGTGGCTCAAAGTGGTAGTATACTAGCATTGAGCACAAAATCTCAGAGACAATGCCCAGGACCTGAGTTCAAGCCCCAGGACACACACACACACACACACACACACACACACACACACACACACACACACCACCCCCTCCTGCTTTCAACACACACACACACATACACACACACACACACACACACACACACACACCACCCCCTCCTGCTTTCAACACACACACACACACACACACACACACACCACCCCCTCATGCTTTCAACAATGAGTTTTCTAAAGTTTGAGCTCTACCACAGCTATTTTCTGAGTCTGATCAATAAAGCATATGTTCCCTCCCATCCAGCAGTCCTCTTAACCTTTGTGGATAGCCATCAGAGGTCACTTGGCAATGACTAAACTTATCTATCAAATGAGAGGAGCAATTTTTTACTCCCTAGCTGAACTGGTCATCAGCCAAGCTCTTTGGCTCAGGTTAAAGGAGATTTCTGTTACCATTCAAAGCTGAGGTATGATACAGCTCAATAGTCTTCAGTAATCATAGGGCTGGTATTGCCAGGGCTTTGGATGGTATCAAAGTTACCTTAGGACCCTTCAACCATTACCAGTTCTGGCTGTGTTTCTAGGCAAAGCCTCTGTAGCTCATCCTTCTTTCCATTATGGGCATCAGGTTAGAACATTTTAATCACAGAGACTTAGAAATTGGTTAAACAGAAAAAGTCTGAGTCTCTACTGTTATTGTTTAGTGTTGATCATCAGTGCTCACAACACAGCCCAGTTCAATGGAGTCCAAGACCTCCAGCTCCACCTTATGGACAACTCTTAACAACCCATGAAGTCAGTCTTAATCTGTGAAATGGAGATGACACATTAGCACTTATGACTGGTAAGGATATAGTCTGACACAAAAGCACTCAGTTGAAAGATGACCATTAATTATAAATCATCTGTTTTGTTCCCAAAAGTATATTTTTAGAGCCACACATCATCTATTTAAAGTATGAATTACCCTCCTTTGACAGGGAAATTGGTTCATTTCTTATTTCTTGATATTGCCATTTTCTGTAGTTTAGATCCAAAGTCCCACTAAATGTTAAAGGCTTGGTCCTCAAGGTAGCACTCCTGGGAGATGGTAGATACTTCAGGAGTTAGTACCTACTACAAAGTGTTTGGCTCATTGAGGGTGTGCTATTAAAGGAGACTGTAGGTCACCACATCTCTCTTTTCTCTTTTCCTCCTTGGCCCTGTGTAAATGGTTTTGTTCTAACACATACTCCTGCCATGAAGTTTACTTTGCCACAAGCCAAAGTAACAGTTAACAGTGTACTGACCACGGACTGATGTCCAAAACTGCGAACCAAAACAAACCTTTCATCAGGCCCTGGTGGCTCACACCTGTAATCCTACTCAAGAGGCTGAGATCTGAGGTTTGCAGCAAGAAGCCAGCCCAGGTAGGAAAGTCTGTGAGATTCTTATCTCTAATTAACCACTAGAAACAAAACTCTCATGCTCAAGCCTAGTACTCTACCAGAAGTTGAGCATGAAAGCTTAAAGACAACACCTAAACCCTGAGTTCAAGGCCCACAAGTAACCAAAAAAACCCCAAAACCATTCCCTCTCTTCCAAGTTGATTATCTCAGTTATTTTCATTTGTTCTTTTTTCTTTTCATTTTTCTTTTTTTTTAAATTTTATTGTCAAGGTGATGTACAGAGGAGTTACAGTTACATAAGTAAGGTAATGAGTACAATTCTTGTCTAACTTGTTATCCCCTCCCTCATTTTTCTCCCACTTTCCCTACCCCTTCCCCTCCCCCCACCCCAGTTGTACAGATCATTTCCAACATATTGTCTTGTGGACCCAATGCAACAGTGATACTATTTTCTTTTTGCTTTTTTGTGGTACTGGGGATTGAACTAAGGACCTTGCACTTAGGAAGGTGCTCTGAACTCAGGAGCTACTTTCCAGATATATTTGTGTGGGTTATTTTCAAGAGAGGGTCTTTCTTAATGCCTAGGCCAGCCTGGACATCAATCCTTTTATTTGTGCTTCCCTATATCACTGAGATGACAAGTACATACCATACCACAGGACCATTGGTTGAGATGGAGTATCACAATTTTATTTTGCCTGGGCTGAATCACAATTCCTCCATCTTCACCTCCCCAATAGCTAGAACTACAGGCTTAAATCACTGTCCTCAGCTATTTTCTTATAGCGACAGAAAGCTAACAAGCATACTATTTCCAACCAATTTCTCAGATATGCTAAGCAGTCACTGGACTTCTGAAACACTTACCTGTAAATTGTTGTTCAGTAAATCAAAGTCACTGTATCTTCTAACAATCTGTAAGAGACAAGATAGTGTTGTTTGGATTCAGCAAAGGCATCCTTTTCTACTTCCTTATTGGCTCTCCGGAGCTGAGATACTTTTTTTTTTTTGGTCGGTTGTGAGGCTTGCACTCTGGGTCTGGGCACTGTCCTTCAGCTCTTCAGCTCAAGGCTAACACTCTACCACGTGAGCCACAGTACCACTAGTGCCACTTTCGGTTTTCTGAGTGGTTTATTGGAGATAAGAGTCTCACAGTCTTTCCTGCCTTGGCTGGTTTTGAACCTAGATCCTCAGATCTCAGCCTCCAGAGTAGCTAGGATTAGGCATGAGCTACCACACTCAGCAAGATACTTCTGCTAAGTAGAAAAGGACTTCATTGTATTTAAATTGACAGATTAAGAAAACAGACCTAGCAGTATCCCAAAGGTTGGCTGAACACAGAAAACTTGTCATTGCTAGCCAAACTCACCAGGAGATTTAAACAGCAACAATAAGTTATTTTCAAGACAAAAAGCCTTTCAAATCTCGTATTACCTGGATACCTGGAAAGGTAAATTAGAATTAAAAAAAAAAAGTTTTGCTGAGCTTGGAACCCAAGCACAAGGAAGGAGATGATCTGAGGGCATTTCATCCTTGCCCTAGTTGAAAATCCTACCTTCCTGGAGACTGGGCTGCACCTGTAGGAGGAGGTGCCACACCTTGCCCTGGTTTCTCAGGCTTCCCTTCTTGGCAGACTGTCTACATTCTTTAGTTGTGTTGATGCCATTGATTAAAACACAATCCAACTCTGCCAGTGCTGGGAAAGGAGATTATTTTGCTTTTGAATAGTTGGCTTCAGTCTTTACTAGTGGTTTTTCATTGTTAGTGTACAGAAGAAATAGCTGAAGAGCACTAAGAAACCAAACCACCCACTGAGAATCTCATTCAGATAGATCTAAGGGTTGGATTTCAAAAATCCATTTTTGTTAAGAAGCCCCAGATTTCTAACGCTTGGGGGTAGAATAGCAAATACAATGACTACTACCAAAGAAATAAGCTCTACACAAAATTCAGCCAACAGAGATGTAAAAGGGTTGGGAAGGATCTCTAGATCTGCCCAAGTCTTTTTTTCCTCTGAGGCCATCACTGAGGAAATAAAGAGTCTGGAATCTCAACACGATCCTCCCTTAGGAACAACAGAGGTGCTAGCTATCATGATGAGGTGTCCACAAGTGAAGTTGGACAGCCATAAAAAGCAGTACTAACAACTGCTGTACAGCATCCAGGACACAGTCTCACTTTTTTACCTGCTGGGCTGAACTATGACTTCATTTAACTAAACCATGACTACAAGGCTTCTACTGTTTTATTTTATTTTTGTTTATATGGTACTGAGGAATCAAACCCAGGGCCTCAAGCATGCTAGGCAAGCACTCTACCACTAAGCCACATTCCCAGCCCCTCCTATTGTTTTAGACTAAGCTGAAAAACAAATTGTCAGATACTCTTCCTGATAACTCTTGTGTACAGTGCCAGTTTACACAAATGAGAACAACATAGCCCTTTATAACACTTGTCTTAAGGGCTGGAAAGGTGTGTTAGTGGTAGAGTGCTCTCCTTATATGCATGAAGCTCTGGATTTCATTCCTCAGTACCACATAAACAGAAAATGCTGGAAGTAGCGCTGTAGCTCAAGTGGTAGAGTGCTAGCCTTGAGCAAAAAGAAGCTCAGGGACAGCGCCCAGGCCCTGAGTTCAAGCCCCAGGACTGGCAAAAACAAAAAAAACAAAAGAACTTGTCTTAAAGCCAAAAGAAGAAATATGATTTATATTATATGACTGTTCTGATTTTTTCTAGGTTTTTAGATATGCTAAATCAGGGTTTGTTTTTTAGTTTTTTTGTGCTGGTCCTGGGGCTTAACTCAGGACCTGGGTATAGCCCTGAGATTTTCTGCTCAAGGCTAGTGCTTTACCACTACACAGCTTCACAGCTTCACTTCTGACTTTTTGGTAATTAACTGGAGATAAGTCTTACAGACTTCTCTGACCAGGCTGGCCTTGAACCTTGATCCTCAGAACTCAGCCTCTAGAATAGCTAGGATTATAGGCATGACCCACTGTTGCACAAACCACTTGTGTTGGGTCTAAGTCAGGGTTTTAATCCCAAATTCAAGCACCTGTCTCCATAATAAGTGCTTCTTCTTGGTTCCCCCCCAACACTCCTCTTTTTTGAGGGGGGGGAAGATAAGATCCCTCTATAACCTAGACTATCCTATTTCCCCTTCCCTTTCCCCTCATCTCCTGTCTCCTTCTTCCCTCCTTCCCTCTCTCTCTCTCTCTCTCTCTCTCTCTCTTTTTTTTTTGGTCTAAGACCAGAACTCGAAAGTCTACCAACTAAGCCATGCCTCCAATCTCTCTTCTGTTTTTTTAGGACAGTATCTAACCTTATAACCCAAACTGTCCTGGAATCATTATGGAGGCCATACTGACCTTGAACTCATGCTTACCCTACCTCAGTCACCCTAACACTAGTAGTACAAGCTTGCATAACCCCACTTGAGTTGATTACTTTTCCAATGGACAAAAAAGTACTTACCTGCCAGCTGTTTTCTACAGAAATTCCTCTTTGTACCCGAATGATATATTCCTAAAAGTGGAGAAGGGGAGAAAACGCCTGTTATAAAATCACAGACTCAAAATAAGCAGGCTAGAGTTGTAGCTCAGTAATAACTTGCATAAAATATACAAGGTGCTGGGATCAGCTGGTGTCACTACAAGAAATGGGAAAGGGGTAATATTAAAAATATAAGACAAAAGTTGACTTACAAGCAAAGAAAACTATAGGTTGAAGATCTATACTCAGAAAATCCAAAGTTCTCCAATATCTGTTTAGATACTGGAGCATCAACATGATGTTTGAAAGGTTTCTTCCAGATTTAGCTACATACTTACAAACCTAATATCTGAGAGGCAGAGACAGGAGTATCTCAAATTCAAGACCAGCCTGCCCTATATATTGCATATGAGGTAAGTCTGGCCTACACAGTAAGGCACTATGTCCAAAAAAAAAAAGCCAGGCACCAGTAGCTCATACCTGTAATCCTAGCCACTCAGGAGGCTGAGACCTGAGAATCGCAGCTCAAAGCCAGCCTGGGTAGGAAAGTCCATGAGACTCTTACCTCCAACAAACTACTCAGAAAAAGCTGAGAGTAGTAGTACTGTTGGCTCAAATGGTAGAGATAGAAACCAGGCCCTGAGTTCCAACTCCAGGACTGACAAAAAAAAAAAAAAAAAAAAAAAACGTTTCAGAGCTTTGGTCTGGGAATATAGTTCAGTGGTTCTTGTCTAGCATGTGTAAAACTTTAGGTTTGAACCCTAACAATGAGAAGGACAAAAACGTTCACATTTTAGAGTACTTCAGATTTTCAGGTTAGAGATACTCAATGGTAAAGTCTATTTCAATATGCCATATCTAACTAACTCAATCTTCTGGTACCAAGCACTTTTGACAAGGATCATTCAACCTGTACCAGAGGAAAAAAAGTGACTAATATTACATAAAGACAGAAGCATAATCTACCAGAAAAGTGTATCAATCCTTTATGTGTATGCACCACACAATATAAATGTAGGGGCTGGTCGAGAGCTTCCCTGGCAAGCTCTGATCCCCAGAACTATAAACAAAACAACACAACACACTCACCTACCACCACCACCATCACCACCACCACAACACAGAACTACAAAATATAGGAAGCAAAAACAGGTAAAACTGAAAGAAGAAAACGAGAATCCAAAAGTATAGTTAATATTTCAATGTCCTTTATTCAGCAATTGACAGAATAACCAAAAAAAATAGCACATATTTCCAAATAATCTATGGATCAAGCCAAGTGCTGGTAGTTCATCTCTATAATCTGATCTACTCAGGAGGCTGACATCTAGAAAATCATGGCTTTAGGTCCATCTCCAGAAAAGCAGAGCTAGAAGACACAAATGTTTTCTCTCATATGCAGAAGCTAGATCTAAAATACCCCAGGACATGATAAATTTATGCAGGGCTCGAAGCACTCACATACAGTGAGATTAAAGGAGGATATTCTTAGGGGTGGAACACAGAGGCACAATGCCTATGTGCCTCTGATCATATAAAATACTATTTATCGAAATGAACTCCAGGAAATGGAAATGAGAGGGTTTTTTCAGTTGTTTTTGTTTTCTTTTCTTTTTGTCTTGTTTATGTCTTTGGGAGGAGGGTAAGGGAGTGCACAGAAATAGAGGGACAAAGGGTGAACAAATGCATCAGTGGACTAGACATTATGTTGAAAGTGAACTATACAACTTGTGGGTGGGAATAGGAGGGAAAAATGGAGAGAGCAAAGGAAGGGGTAACAGTGTCCAAAAAAAATGTACTCATTAACTCTGTACATCACCTTTTATAATAACAATTTTTTAAAAATTTTAAAGCAGAGCTGGAAGTGTGGTTCAAGTGGTAGAGCACCAAGCTTAAAAGTCTGAAATTAAACCCCATACTAAAAATATAAATGAGTACCCACGGGTCAAAGAGGATATCACAAGAAGAAAAAAATAGAGAGAGACAGACAGATTCCATGAATGGTGTCTCATGCTTACAAACCCAACTACTTAAGGGCAAAGATCAGGTATCATGGTTTGTTGGCAAGCTAAGCAAAAAAGTTAGCAAGATTCCACCTCAACCAATAAAACTGGAATGGACATGGTGGGACATGCCTGTCATCCCAGCTAGATGAGAGGTTTAAACAGGATTGCAATCCAAGCTGTCCTTGGCAAAAACAACAACAACAAAAAAAAACACAAGACTAGGGGCTGGGAAGGTGGCTCAGTGGTAGAGTGCTTGCCTTGCATGCATGAGGCCCTGGGTTCGATTCCTAAGTACCACATAAGCAGAAAAAGCCAGAAGTGGCGCTGTGGCTCAAGTGGTAGAGTGCTAGCCTGAGCTGAAGAGCTGAGGGACAGCGCCCAGGCCCAGAGTTCAGGCCCCATGACTGGCAAAAAAAAAAAAAAAAAAAAAAAAACAAAAAAAAACACAAGACTATTCAAAAAATAACTGAAGCAAAAAAGGCTGGGACATGGCTTAAGTCGTGAGACCCTCAAACTCGATTAATGCAAAAAAGAAAAGAAAAACCATGGTACTGGGGGAAAAAAGTATGAAGTGCCTTGGCATGCTAAATACCTTGACCTTTTCCTGCTCGCTGCCTTTCTTCCTTGCCCTCCTTTTTCCCTCAAGGTAGGGTACAGAACCTAGAATTTATCTTCTCTAAGGAACTGGAATCCGGAGCTGGGAAGGTGGCTCAGTAGTAGTGTTTGCCTCGCATGCATAAGGCCCTGGGTTCGATTCCTCAGCATCACATAAACAGAAAAGGCCAGAAGTGGTGCTGTAGCTCAAGTGGTAGAGCGCTAGGCTAGCCTTGAGCTGAAGAGCTGAGGGACAGTGCCCAGGCCCAGAGTTCAGGCCCCAGGACAGACCAAAAAAAAAAAATAAGGAACTGGAATCCCTGGCCTCCAAATTAAACCTACAAACAATACTAGTCCGTCCTTCTTCCTCCTTTCTCTGAGGCCATAAAGAAATTTTTTGATGTACCTTGTCTGTAGAAGAGTCATTTCAGAAAGAGTCCTGGCTGTGGAGGATGATGGAATTCTAGCACTTAAGAGGATGAAGAAGGACCATGAAGAGATAAAGGCCATCCTGGAGTACATAGTGAGATGGTATCTCAAAAAACCAGGAAGTGAGAAGGTCCTGCTTACAGAGAAGCCAAGAAGAATGTGAACAGACAAGTCTTACAGGTTTCCCATGTTATCTTTTTAACAATCACATTTCTAAGTGTGATTTTATTTCACTGAAATTAAGTATAAAAGTAGGCAGCTTGCCAACTGTTGGAATCTTAATTTCTTTCCTTTTCCTTTTTGTGCCAGGACTGGGGCTTGAACTCAGGGCCTGGGTACTGTCCCTTAGGGTTTTTGCTCAAGAACTGGTGCTCTACCACTTAAGCCACAGTTCTATTTCTAGCTTTTTGGTGGTTAATTAGAGATAAGAGTCTCCTGGACTTTCCAAGCCATAGTGGCTTTGATCTGCAATCCTCAGATCTCAGCCCTGAGTAGCTACAGGCATGAGCCACCAGTCCTTTGCTGGATCTTAATTTCTTTTTTTTTTTTGGTCTGGTCGTAGGGCCTGAACTTTGGGCCTGGGCGCTGTCCCTAAGCTCTTCAGCTCAAGGCTAGCGCTCTACCACTAGAGCCACAGTGCCACTTCCGGTTTTTTTCTTATGTGGTGCTGAGGAATCGAACCCAGGGCCTCTGGCATGCAAGGCAAGTGCTCTACCACTGAGCTATCTTTCCAGCCCCTGGATCTTAATTTCTGAAGACTCATAAAATCTTGACTGAGGGGGGGGAGGGAGGATGGGAAGGGATGGGAAGGGTAAACAAAGGAGGAGGCTAAAATGCTTGATAAGAAATGTACTCACTATCTTGCCCATGTAATTGTAACCCCTCTGTACAGTATTTTCACAATAAAAAAAAAAAAATCTTGACTGAACAAAGTTGGTATGCTTTTCTTTGTTAACCTTTGTCAGTTTTGACTTCAGACCTGGCTGGAAATGATAAAAGAGAGTAAATGAAACTTTCTCTCCCCTACCATAACATATAAAATCTGCAAGATACACCTTATGTAGTTCTTAAAGGGAAATTTATTTATTTTTATTTATTTATTTGGTTGTGGGGCTTGAACTCAGGGCCTGGGCGCTGTCCCTGAGCCCTTTTTTTTTTTTTTTTTTTTTTTTGGGTCCGGTCGTGGGGCCTGAACTCTGGGCCTGGGCGCTGTCCCTCAGCTCTTCAGCTCAAGGCTAGCGCTCTACCACTTGAGCCACAGCGCCACTTCCGGCTTTTTTCTTTTTGCTTATGTGGTGCTGAGGAATCGAACCCAGGGCCTCAGGCATGCAAGGCAAGCACTCTACCACTGAGCCATCTTCCCCTGAGCCCTTTTGCTCAAGGCTAGCACTCTACCACTTTGAGCTACAGCTCCACTTCCAGTTTTTGAGTAGTTAACTGAAGATAAGAGTCTCAGGTGGGGGCTGGGAAGGTGGCTCAGTGTTAGAGCGCTTGCCTTGCATGCATGAGGCCCTGGGTCCGATTCCTCAGCACCACATAAGCAAAAAGAAAAAAGCCGGAGTGGTGCTGTGGCTCAAGTGGTAGAGCCCTAGCCTTGAGCTGAAGAGCTGAGGGACAGCGCCCAGGCCCAGAGTTCAGACCCCACGACCGGACCCAAAAAAAAAAAAAAAAGAGTCTCAGGTGGACTTTCCTGCCCTCGCTACCTTTGAACCACAATCCTTAGATCTCAGCCTCCTGAGTAGCTAGGATTACAGGCATGAGCCACCACTGTCTGGCTTTAGAGGGAAATTTAGATGTTTACTGTGTGTGTGTGTGTGTGTGTGTGTGCACGTACACACACACACACACACACACACACATGTGCACATGTGTGCCAGTACTCCTGCTTGAACTCAAGGGCCTTGAGCTGTAGCTCAGCTTTTTAGCTCACAGCTGGTAGTGCTCTGCCACTTGAGCCACACTCCCAGTCCTGAAATGCTAGAGCTTATACAAGAAAAAAAGAAA